GAACGCGAATCAGGCGGAAACAGAGTTCCGCCCGGTGATTCTTACGTAAGCGATTACAGACGACTTAATTAATCAAATTAAGATCTATAAAAGCCGGAAGAATCGTAATTTAACAAAGTATAGTTTGGTAAATTAAAATCACACAAAGGATCACTAAATGAAGCATAAATTAAATTGAAAGCAGGAAAACAAAGTTCCGGCATCGCGACGGCGATGCGTCGGCGATGCACCGGAATCCTGAGCATTCGAGAGGGTCATCGTGCAGTGTCCATGGCCTCGAAGGCTCTCCTTGGACAAAGACGACGTGGGCCATCTCTAGATCTTCTCGCGAAGTCTAGAGATCAATGAAGTGGGTCGTCGAATCGTCTCCGGCGGCTGTCACCTGGCGGAGCGGAAAAACGGCGACTTTGCAGCTCTCCAGCGGCTGTCACCCGACGGAGAGGAGTTGGATGGAGGTGGGGCGCGTGTCAGGGAGCTTCATCCTCAGGTCCGCGCAGCAAGAGGAGGCTCTTCATCGCATCTGGTATGCTCTCAAGAGATGGCGACTGGTCTCCCGGCGGATCGTCCTCTTCCCGACGACGGCTTGTTCGTCGATCAATCGGAGATGCTTTACTCGATGGATTCGCGATCCTTTTATTGCGAATCGTTCAACAATTTTAGTAGCAATGCTCTGCGAATCGCGTTGACGAGATTTTCGTCGATGATCCAGCGATTCTCGTTGCTTAATCCTTCACCGGCGATCTGCAGAAAAGTCGCAATAATCAAATAAAAATATATGAATTTTGACTCTGGAAGGATTCGAACCCGCGTCGGTCGCCCGTGACGGGGGTTTAGTCCCACATCGGTTGTACGCAGATTTTTCGGGCGAATATATAGTAATGTTAGCTTTACGAGCAAAGTCACTTCTCTCGCGTGTATGACCACTCCTTGCCCCACAGACTATCATGTTGTCATTTCACCTTGTACTTAAGAACAAGGTTATGCTTAAATCAAAAAATCTTCTTAACATGCCAATTTTAGAGTCAACTTTTTCTATGACTTGAAAAAAGTCATAGTAATATTATTTGTATATGTCTTAAATTTTCATATAAGATAATGACTTTATACTCAAAGTAGTAGATGACCTTTTCCATCTCATTCTTATGTGTGGAGTATTACTACTTGATATCACATAACTTTTGACTCTTGAAAGCTATCAGATGTCTTTCTTAAATTAACACATTATTGATCACTAAGTTGGATGCATTTATATGTACTTAGAATGAGTAACTAAAGTTTAATAGTCATGAAAATAATATATTATTTACTATAATGTTTAATACTTTGAACGATAATTATACTTTACGAATTATTCTCATAATTGACCTTCCTTCAAGATATATGTTGAGGACATTATTGTAGATGCACCCACTATTTTTCTAAAGTTGTTGTGTCATGCACGCTACATATATGTCAACTCTCTTTTGAGCCAGCACCACCAACTTGGTTGTCCACACTTCAATGATAACTAATTATCTTACTTCTAAGGGTTATAATAAATATTTTCTCACTCTTCTTCAATTCATCTTAGAACTATAATTGTGACGACATTTTGCAGCAAATATGAGCATTTTAAAGTTTTGATTTGAAACAAAGACTTTTCTAACATGAATCAGATTGTGTAATTGGGAAACAACCATGTATGTGAACATACTAAAAAATTCATACCAATATGGTGTCAAAATCGTCAATCAATAATGTTAGAAAATCCACAACGTCTTCATACTTTAACCTTTATTGAGAACAATACATAATATCAATGTGTATATATTATAAAGTTTATTTGTATCATCTTCTTCTTTAATAAGAAGTTGTGGGTGACCTTACTGTCGACCATTGTAAAAATTGGCTGACTATTGATATTGAACTTCACATAAATCACATTAGCCTACTGATTTTCCTGATCTCAACATACTACTGCAATATGTATAGTAATTGAAGAGGGTTCAAAGTAAGTAATTTATTCGTTACTAGTTATTACATTGTCATCGCATTAACTACACCTTATCTTATGTAATCTTTTGACATGTGTGGACCTAAGTACATAAAATATTTATTCTTCCAATTGTTCAATGTCTCCATAGAAGACTTGGGTTTTTTAACCTTTCACAAAGCTTCTACCTTTATTAGTTGTTGCGTATCCTTATGTCATGATTGTTACTACCATTAGTTAATAACTTAAAATCCCTCTAATAGTTCACACATTTGCATGTCAATAAGGTGTCAAAACCATTATGATTAACGAGATACTTGTCCATTGCCATAGCTATCTTCATGTTCTTAACCCTATAATGTCTCATCTTAATTTGCACTCATGACTAAAGTATATCCATTAAGTTGAATAACTTGTTATCTTCTGATACACCTGTTATGTTCAACAAGAGATATGAGAACATATTACTACATTTTTTGTATCATATCAATGAGTTTTTATCGTTTAAGAAATTCTCACACTACCTATACATAGTTGGTAGGAAGAAATTGATCTTTTGATTCTTAGACAAACTTTTTTCAAGAGTCCATAGAGTATTACGATGCATCCTTCATTCTTGTCTTGACTAAAGTTTAGTGTCACTAGTGAGATATGTACTTGTCAAGACGACTTTTTCCCCATCAAGAGTGAGGTTTGAAATATTATTTTAAATTTAACATGATGTTTTTCAACTCTTATTGCATGTTTCTACAAACACCTTAGATTGTCTTCCAATGCATGTTTTTCTCTTGTAGCACACTGACCATGAACCACTTCAATAGCACCATGTCTACGACGAAGCCATATACAACTTCTTACAACTTTTTTGAGAGATGCAATGGTATTCTTTATTACCTTTTGGATGTCCTCCAAACATGAATCGAATGTCTAGAGCTTGGATTCTACACTCTCAAGTATAATAGCCATAGAGGCCATATGCTCTGCTGATTAGAAAAATCATTGGCTAAATTTTTTCCATCGGCCAACCATTTTGTACCTTTGAGGCTATGATATTAATTGCCATAGGGTTGAAGCAAGTTTATATTTGAGGCTTTAGTTCCATTAGGTGTTGGTTGTGCATTCAAAAACATTTTTTTTGTTAGTAGATATAATATAAGTTTTCATCAATGAGATATACCTAATTTTCATTAAGAATCATGTTGAGTACAATATTGGAAGTTATTACTCACTCACATTGAGACCTATTTGCCCATCATGTACATGGCCCCTTCTATTTATAGAGGAGGGTTACCCCTATCAGATCCTCAAATGACTTTTTCTTTTTGAAATAAATGCTTATATCACCTAATGAAATGTTTAAATAATGTGGATCCCTATAAATATTCATTCATTTTGAAAGGTTGTGATAATAAAGTTAATCGAGTTAGCCATTAACCTTGTAGCCCAATTTCTATGTACAACGTGTCATGCTCTTGATAATCATGCACGCACACATGTGACATGCATAGAAGACCCACATTGGACCATGTCCTGCCACAACCTACAAGATTCACTGAATATCAGTATGCATCTTGCCTGCTCATGTACCATGTTGCTGCCATGTTGTCACTATGCTAATACCATATCATATAGTTTCAATGGTTAGAGAGGTTCTCTGAATGCCTTTGTGAACCTTGCCTTGCACTAAGAGAGCTGTCCAACTATGCATGCATGTGTCCATGTGTCTCTTTCTTGCTCATGTACTACTTAGCACTTAGTGCCAGCACCATGCATGTCGTGTTGGTCTGCTTGCTGCACACCTATGCAACCTTAGTTGCACACCAAGGTTTTGATGCGTGACCTTCAACAAACATATGCATGCCCACATGCCCTCAACCATTTGTTGTACATATCAAGATTCTGATGGAATAACCTCACTCGGTGGAGAAAGGGCGTGACAAAGCCAACTAAGAAAATGATAAGAAAGTGAACTAATGGAAATCTTTGACTTAGTGGGTATTATAACAAAGTATAGTTCACGGTAGCATTAAATCCTTATAAAAAAATTGTGTTATTGTATACTCAATTTATTACTACAATTATTTTTTAACAACAAAGTTTTTTACAAAGACAATTCACTCCTAGCACATTTCTCCATTAAACCAAGATTGTTACATTTAGTTTAGTATTATTATATGGTGCTATGACAAATAGATTTGATTAATTGATTAAATTGAGTTTCTTTCTAATTAAAGTCATGAGTGGCCATAATGAAAATATAGGGACGACAAACTCAAATGCAAAATAATAAATGTCTAATAATGTATGGCTTTTTGGTTTTAAAGTATACTTGTCAATGGGCTGAGCCAAGTCATGGTGCTATCTCTTTAAAAGGCCAAAGTAATACATTGAAATTGAGATAGAAACTAGAATCGAATAATACCTTATTGACCAATTTTCCTGTGAAAGTGCATGTTTTGAATGTGACATTAATCTTATCTTGACACTTTGTACACCATGTTGTCAATATTAGAACATTATTTATTGATGGATTGTACGTGAATAGTGAGGATTTGACATTAGCTGCTAAAATTTGATGCTCATTGTTTATGTTTAAGGTTTATATATCTACGGTTGAGGCCGGATTTTTGGGTTTTGATATACTACTTTTAGTACTTTTTTGACATTTGCTTTTAGTTGTTAGGGTTTCAATATTATTTATCAGGGGTTTGACGTCAATTGTCAAACATTTTGACATTTTCTTGAGGGGCTTGACACTGACTTTCAGGATTTTGACAACTTGATAACATCTGCAATACTTGCCCAAAAAGTCAACATCCCGACTTCCATCATCATCATCCGACGCCACAAAAAAGCTGGCTTCCATGAACCCTCCAAGTCAAGGTTCTCACTTTGATGGCCCCAGCTGAGCTGGACAACTTCAGTACATTCACCATCCGCCGGCCCTAGAGATTCCGAGGAAGAAGGTCTAGTTTTCTCACGGGAGTAGAAAAACTTGGACGGGGAGGGGGATGATCCCTCTGATTCTCTAAGAAAGAAGGGCAGACCATGATGGTGGAGGAGGAGGACTCGCCTGCCCTTCTTCATCCAGTTCTATCTGGCTGAAACCTGGTTGCTTCGAAACGCCCCATCTGATCACCTCCCCGTCCCTCCATCTCCGAGCTTCGGCATAGACATTGGACAGCAGAACCAGGTCCCCATCTCCAGGGGCTTCAATCTGACAGAGCTCTCTGAAGGCCTCCTCTGCGAATTCCACGTTGCCATGGCGGCAGCAAGCAGCCAGGAGGGTCCTCCAGAGAACAGGATTTGCCCTGAATGGCGTCGCCCTGATGAACCAGTTGGCTTCCTGAAGAAATCCTCCCCTGCTGAGCAGATCCACCATGCAGCCGTAGTGTTTTATGTCGGGTTCGATGGCGTGCCGCTGAACCATGGCATTGAAGATGCGTCGCCCTTCTTCAACAAGCCCCTGGTGGCTGCACGCCAGCAGCGCGCCGAGGAAGGTGACCCGGTTGGGCTTGGCCGTCTCTGACGATGCCTCCTCCATGGAGGAGAAGAGCCTTAGAGCCTCCTCAGAGCAGCCGTGCACAGCCAACGCCATAATCATCGAGTTCCAGTGGGTCACATGCTTCATCAGCATTTCGTCGAACACTTTCCTAGCGAGCCACAGGTTCCCACACTTGGCATACATGTCGAGAAGAGCGTTGCCGATGACGCCCTCCGCCTTGAACCCCTCGTGTAGAAGGAGTCTGTGAAGTTGTCTGCCGATCTCTAGAGCTCCTGTCTCTGTGCAGGCGTGGAGGAGAGAGACGACCGTCGTCTCCGTCGGCTCCACCCTCTGGATTTGCATCTTGTTGAACAGTTGTAGCGCACTGTGGTAGTCCCTAACCTGGATGTATCCGGCGATGATGGAGTTCCAGGAGGCGGCATCTCTTTCCGACATTCCCTCGAAGACCTTCCTCGCTGCTCCGATATCTCCCGATCTGACGCACCTCGCGATGACCGTGTTCCAGGAGACCACGTTCTTCTCCGGCATCATCTGGAGCAGTGAGTCCGCAGAATCGAAATCGCTCCGCCGGTAGTGCGCGGCGATCATCGCGTTCCAGGAAGCGACGGTCCTATCGCCCATCTGATCGAACACTCGACGGGCATCGGCGAGCCTCCCGAGTTGGGAGTACATGACAATCAATGAATTCTCGACGAAGACATCACGACTCAAACCAGATCGCGAAATCCTTCCGTGAACCTCCGCCCCCTTCCTCACCAGATCAAGCTCATGCTCCTCGGATTCCCCCACTGCACAAACTCTACCCAGAGCTTTGAGCACGAAGGGGTAGGTAAGCCGGTCCAACCTCACGCTCCTCAGGCACATCTCGTTGTAGATGTGGATGGCCTCCACCGGGAACAAGCTCCGGGAATAAGCTCTGATCATGGTGTTGCAAAGAATGGGATTCCGCGCCTCCCAGGTCCCGAAAACCGAGCTGGCGTACTCGAGGCTGCCCCATTTGGGAAGAGCGGCGAGAATGACGACCTTGTTGAGGAGGAAGGTGTGGGAGATGAGACCAGATTTCGTGATCAGAGCGTGGGCTTGCTTCAGCTCTCTCAGACTGGAGACCTTCTGGAGGAAGAGGACAATCTGCTTCGGGTTCGAGAGCATGGAGGAAGGAAGGAAGCCTGTAGGTTTTGATCCGAATCGGTACATTATATATGAACCGGTCCATTCCGGTCTATTCCGGTTCGTCTCGATTCCGTTATCATGTTTTGGGTATAAATACTCGCATGACCAGTACCCGCCTCCCTTCGCCGCAGTACTCCCATCCTGAAACCCTAGTCGACGACTCTGTGCAAGAGAGGCGGCGGCGTCGAAGCCGCTCTGAGCTGCAATGGTGAGCGAACGAATCGCCTATTGGATGATTTTCTTCGTGTTCTTCTTTCATGAAGTCGCTCATAACGTTGCCTGCAACCTTATTCCGACCCGTCTAATGCCAGTGGATTTGTTGTGATGCTTTCTGCAGACCTTCAAGCGCAGGAACGGGGGACGCAATAAGCATGGCCGCGGTCATGTTAAGTTTATTCGCTGTTCCAACTGTGCGAAGTGCTGCCCAAAGGTACGGCCTCCTTTGCGGGTCATATCTGCTTCTTTACTTTGTTACCGCCATATGATGGCGATGCGTTCTTTTGCATCTAGTCGATGACGCTTGTTTTCGTCTTTGTTTGGATAGACTAATAGATACGTCCTTGCAATGTTTGCTTACATATGCATTGGTTCGTGGATTGCTCTAACTTCGATGATTTTATTTTATTTATCTTGCTTGTTGAATCATTCTAAAAGTTAATGCTGTAATGTGGTAGCGTGTCTTATTTTTATGTTTACCTTTATTTTATTTCGAAGGACAAGGCCGTCAAGAGGTTTCTTGTTAGGAACATTGTCGAGCAGGCTGCCGTGAGGGACGTCCAGGAAGCTTGCGTTTACGAGAGTAAGAATTCTCGATTGCTTTCTGTCCTTAGTCGACTGCTTCGGATCCTTGACTTTTCTAATTGCGTAATCGATTTGTGTTTTAGGTTATACTCTTCCCAAGCTTTACGCGAAGATGCATTATTGCATTTCTTGTGCCATCCATTCTCACGTGGTTCGGGTGCGATCTCGGACAAACAGGAGGAACCGTGAGCCACCACAGCGTTTCAGGCGTAGGGTATGAATCTTCATGCCACGCACTGTTCTTTTCGTTTAATGTTCGTTTTTACAATTCTCATGAGTTTGGCTTGCAAGAACTCTAGTTGATGATGTCGAAACCCTGTACCGATCACTTCTCATGAAAACGGAGACTGATATTCCTTACATGATCCTAAAATAGAGAGTCAACTGAGGACCATTGATGCGAATTTTCTGAAACGACTGTTCTTGGAAGTCTGTTCTTTCATCCAAACCCTTAGATTCTTCTTTCCCCCAATTTCAGGGTCCCTTTTTTTCCTGTCGAAGTATCAATTAATGTGAGGGCCTGTCATACACGCCTTTGGGTAGGCTAGTGAACCAATTATTCTACGGGTCTTGAGGTTTCTGCCCAAAGTTCTATGTCATTGTTAGCCATTTATCGATCTATTTAGTAATCGATCATAGGAGACGTTTCGAAGGCAGCTAGAATCAGTTACATCAGATCTGAAAGCAGGAATTCGCCTCTAGCTCCATTAGTCGTCATTAACCAGGCTCTGGCGCTCATGTCGGAGCCTTTTACTAGGTAGATTGCTAGATTCCTATGTCCAAAGCATCTAGGCTGTAGTTCTTACTAAATCTTTTGCAAACTAAAATGCTTATCGGACAAAGTTTCCATGGCATTTGTGATTCTTGATGCGAAACCCACCCCCATCTCGCCACTGTCATGAAACCTTTACTCGTGATTGCCACAGTTTCAATGCACTTTCTTCATTGGGACGCAAAAATCTTCCTCCTCTGTTCGATGCACATATCTGTTGTAACCTCTGTTCTTCGTTTTACTGCCTTTGAATTGGCCTCGGACCAGACCCCTTTAGCCTGTGTATCGACAGAGGGCGTCTTATGTTTTTGCACATTTTATTTAGCATTGTTTTCTCAAAATTTCCCAATGTGGAAGCTAATGGGTTCGACCCGCTGGTGGCAGGACGACACCAAGCCCGGGGTGCCCGGTGGCCCGCGCCCGGCCGGCGCTCCTCCGACTGCGGCGAAGCCGTAAATTCTCCCAGACGGTCGCGGGCTTTTGCTGTCCTTTCCGGCGTTTGTTTCGCGGGATTCTGAGTTTTGATTTCTCCCAGATGATTTTCCCACTCTCTCCCTTGTTTGGAACCTCACTTTGAATAGCTTCAATCCCCCGACGCTTCTATCTCTGTGACATGGATGTGGGGCCCGCTCGCCACGCGGGCAACACAGACATGCCAGCTTGGCCCGTCTCTATCTCTGGCTAATTTTAATGCCGGATCTCTGCGGGCCGCGTGGAATGGATTTTGCTTAACAGCCGCGCGATTGAGGGGGAGATTTTGGGGGAAATCCGGGAGATATCGGGCGCAGAATCTTTCTTGTTTTGGCGGGGGGCGTGGGGGGGGATGTCGTCCTGTCTGTTGGGGAACGGGGGGAAGAGATAAACAGAGAGACAGAGAGAGAGAGAGAGAGAAGCGAGGGAGAGCGACACGGCGTCCTCACGTGAGGGCGGACCGTGGCCCGACTCGGTGACTCGGCAAAATCCACGCTGACTCTCGCCTTCATCGTCCTCCTCCAGGCGGGCTCTGGCTTCTCGCACAAGGGGGAGGAGCAGAGGTTTGGGATTGCTTTCCCTACTCCCGTCGCTGGATAGGGAGAGAGACCGGGTCAGAGAGAGAGAGAGAGAGAGAGAGAGAGAGAGAGAGAGAGAGAGAGAGAGAGAGGCTCTGATTCTCCCCGTGATTCTCCCCCCTTTTCTTGCCGTGGGCGGGGTTGAGGGGGGGAGGACGCCGGTATCGGGGGCTGATTCTCCCCGTTTTCCACGGGGTTCTCCAGAATCGCGGGGATGGCGAAGGCGCCAGCAGCGGCGTCGGCGGCGGCGCTGGTGGTCGCCGGCCGTGCGCCATCCTTTGATCTGCCGTCAGTTTCTGTGTGAGGATTGAAACCGCCCGTCAACGCGCGCCTCTCATCGACCAGTCAGTCGCCTGTCTTTGCTACTCTTGCGTGCAATTCGGCGGCATGGGCGACGTGCGGGACTCTCCGCCGAGGGAAAACGGCGTACTGGCCGGGGATGCTCCTCCCCTGGCTCTCGAATCGCGGTCGCTGAATCCCCATCCATCGAAGATCGGTGCCGATAGCTGGCGGCTGGCTGAGCAGGCCGTGGAAGGGATAATACAGCGGATCCAGCCCACCAGAGTGACCGATCAAAGGAGAAGACAGGTTGTTGAGTACGTTCGCAACCTGATAAAAGGGGTCGCATATGCCGAGGTAATCCTTCCGTTGACGCCTTTAGCTTGTTTGTATGTTTTTCTTTTTTTTGGCATTATCGCGGTTCACAAAGAACTGTAGTTATATCTTGTTTTCTCGTTGTTGATCCATTAGTCTATTAGATTCACTTTGTGTACCTCCTTGAGCTGCATATCCTATTTTTAATAGTTGTTTCTCGAGTTAGGCATTTTGATATCTGATTGAGTTTAGATATCTTTCTTGGAACGAACGGTACTCCTTTCTTCCATCATCTTCCTTCCTTCTGTGCTGATTGATTTATTTATTTATTTCGCTTTGTTCATGTTCAACTGTTCGATTACGGTCGCATAATCGAAGGCTAACTGGAGGACATTGCAATATATTTTCGTTATTCCCTCATCCAAATAAAAATTTATGTTGCATTTTCTCCTACTTTGCTTCACTGAATTGTATGCTTGGAAGCTTTTCCTGTTGATTTTTCGTCATTGGAATACTGCATGGGTTCAGAGATTAGCCTAAAGTAGTGCAATCTCTTTGTGCTTTTTTACAACTTGGTAGATGTCGGATAATATCCCCCTGCAATTCTCTCTCTCTCTCTCTTTCTTCCGTCCCTTCCTCCTCTTTGATTTTAATCATCTCTTTCCCCGCTGTCTGTTTGCATCTTCTCCCCCGCTTTGTCTATCTATCTGTAAAGCGCTTAGATACAGTCCAGGTGCAATCGATGGTGGCCCCCAATCTCTCTTAGTTTTCTAGAGTCAGGGGAGGAAGATCTTCCTGAGATTGCTCCTAACCTACCCGCCTCTCTCTCTCTCTTAACGGGCACCTTTCTCTTTCGCTGTCTTTATCTCGTAAGAGGGAGAACCAAATATGAACTCCAGAATCTACGCTTCCCATTTGATACCATGTTTTATCCTAAAGACAAGGCTCATTGCGAATGATTCTTTTGGGTGAGATCTATTCCTCTCAATCACTTTGGCAAGTCAATCTGATTTATAATCTATTTAGATGAGGTTCACACTTTGTCAATGAGCTTTTCTGGTGAAGATTTTATTTCTCCAAAATGAAACATCATTTTTGCATGTAAATGCCTAGAATTGAACAGCGAAATGCATGGATTATTTTATTATCATCATATTGTGTGAACGAAACCTTATTCTTGGATCGTGGAAATGAAATCTCATGTTTGATCCGAGGAGTTGTGTCACACAAATGAAACCTCGTGTTCATCTGCGAATGCTTGGATCATGCAAAATATTTTCCAAAAACATTCTTTATGCAATCTTCATGTAATGGTCTGCAGCATAAACCTGTGATAATGACATTAGATAATTGTTGAAGGCATCAGGTCATAAATACGAAACACATGTTACTGAGGCAAGTAAAACACAACTGCCTTCGTTTACTATGATCGTGATCAGTAATCAGTCTTCAAACTTTGAGTTATGTTGCATTGTGAAGGGTATACTAGTGTTGTCCTCATTCATTTCACATTTACCATTTGCACATGGCCAGACAATGATTATTTGTAAAGATGATTCTACCTTAGACATTCACTGACAGAGCTTTCATACCTTTGAAATATGGAAATTAGTTGTTTTTTCATTATACATGCAGTGCTGAGCTCATTGTCTTATGTTCTGTTTGAATAAAAAGCCTCTCCTATTCTTTGGTTTTATCACATCGATGTTTATGTTGGTGCTATATGATGGAGTCCCAATGAACTCCAGGACTCCACCGAAGTCTAGATGGTTTTCTCACGAGAGAGAGAGAAAGAGAATGGGGAAGATAAGATGGGATCCACGGGATAAGAGTAGTCCAAGGCTAGGGACGGTGCCGCTCTGCAATGTCGCCGGGGAAGGGAAACCTGGACGGAAACAGGAGGAGAGAGAAGGTCAAGAAATCCCTTCTAAGGAAGGTGAGACAGCGAGGGTCACGTACCAGTTTCTGCCTGCCAGTCAATCCTTAATTCTGGTATTTATACCATACTGGGGTAAACCATCCGTGGGCCTCTCATTGTTGGACTGGCGCCCGTACTTATTGGGCCGGCGCCTGACATACCACACCTTTGGTATGTCATCACTATATTCCGTAACTATAGCCCAAACAGCAGCCTTAATTGAACAATTGCGATGCAAGTTTACGCTGGGAAATATTGGTAAATTGTAATCCATGCAAGCCAGAGTTCTATTTTATGTCAGCCATCAGAATTCTGCAGATTGAGAACCTGCATAAGCATTGCCAATTAAGTGTTTTTCTGTCTATCTGCAGTTTTCACTGTGATTATACGTCTTCTTAGTTTAACAGGTCTTATTTTTTCCTGTGATTATACTGCATATTTTGCTAGTACCTTCTTCTGAAATTTGGTACTCATCTTCACGAACCCCCCTTAGAAAAAAATGAAATTCATGAGATACAGTGTGGAGCTATGGTTCAACACAGGGACATAGGAGAGAGTAAAAGAAAAAAGGTGTTAATAATTTTCTCTGCACTTTGAGAAGATTGATTTATTGTGCTGTCTTTTACCAGTAAATCGTTACCATCTTATCTATGATATTTCGTCAATCTAACTTTTCTTGAAAAGAGAGATACTAAACTTCTTGATATTATCATTCACGGGAACATTGTTTTTTATAACAGTGGTTTTCTGCCGATATTTAAAAGCTTATTGTCTGTCTAATCAGCGGACACTGTGAAAGATCCAAGAAATCTAAACCATCATAGGAGATTTGAACGAAAATAATAGTATCCATGGGAAAACATGATGAGAAGAATAGATGTAATAAGAATACTAGCCTTTTGTGAACGTTCTATTCACTGATGTCTATTTATGCTCCAAAAGAAGATATCTGTAAATAGAGCGAATTTCAGTTCTATATAGGCTTTTATGAAAAACACATATCTTTGGAATAGAGACTCAGATGTGGGAATTCTGGCACGAATGGAAATGAGAATGGAAAGAAGGGTAAGTGAATTATTCTACTATCACAGCTAACCTTGCTCTGTCTAGAAATTCTTTTGGGGCCATGGTTATTTCTATCCATTTATCTTTTAAATCGTTTGATATTGCCTTTATCTTAAATGGACGATGCAAATAGTTGTTATCCATTTTGTATTGAAACTAGTTTTTGTAGGAGGGATACGACCTTTTGTTGAAATGGAAAATTTAAATGTTAACACGTCATGTGTATTGCACTTATTGCCAGATTTTCCCTTTTGGTTCTGTGCCATTGAAGACCTATCTTCCTGACGGAGATATTGATTTGACTGCAATTGAACCACCAAGATCAGAGGAGTATTTGGCAAAAGATGTCCTAAATGTCCTCCAAGCTGAAGAGCAAAACAGGAATTCTCCGTTTGAAGTGAAGGATGTGCAATACATTCATGCTGAGGTGGCGTTATAGTTTTCGATTATTTTAGCGAATTGTACTCTGTTAGAACCTGAATATTTTTTTACATCTCATTTTTACGTTCTCTGTTTGCTAGCTGTCCTCATTTTCTCTGTTAAAAGAGTCTTTATATTTGTCTGAGTTTGCCCGTACCTCATGAGGAATCATTTGCAGATTCTTATAAGGTGATCAGCAGATAGTTGTCTTTAAAGTTGGGCTAATAACTGGTGCTTTTGCGGGAATGTTCTGTGTCTGGGATCCATCCCCATGAAAAATGGAGTTGTGGAAATGGAGAAGTCGTATGGGGAAGATATCTGTGGCGTTTTAGCTTTGTTGCTTAGTTGTTGTTCCATGTAAGAATCTATGGTGCGATTATTTATTACAAGCTCATCTTTCTGTTAAGTCAGATATCTTCTGGATTGGTTTAAGGGATAGTTGATTATGTAGAATTTTCATTTCTTGAGGGTTCTTGTTGCTGAAATAGTCAGCCATTAGCTTCCCATTAGTGATTTGCACTCTGCTTGGTTTACATCCTCCAGATTTCATATCACTAAGGCAAAATGTTCAGTGGTGGCAGTTTGTCAGGCTCTCCAGTGTCTTGTATGGTGATGCGAATCTTTCAAGGTGGAGAAAATTAATTATAATGACGTTTAGGGGTTTCTTTTCATACCTCAACAGGCTTACTAACAGGATGAAATGAGATTGATGTCTTTTGATGCCCTTTTTTTATTTATTCTTGAATCTTCTATCGCAAAGAAGCTTTTTAATGCGGCTTGTTAATATCCAGTTCTTTGTCTTTCACTTATTTTCAAAGAAAAATGTATGTGTCATAGCTATTTTCCAGTAATTCTCTTTGAAAGTTATAGGCGTTGGGAACCAGTCATATATTTAGATGACAAGCTGAAGCAGACAGAAATGGGCTGGATAGAAACAGGATTGTCTGCCCCTGTATTACCTATTCCTGCCATTTTAAATCCCGGATCGGTTGCGTTTTCATGCATGCAGTCTGAAGCAAGCTTCTATTTGGTTGTTGCATGTGAGAACTCTCCATGGCATGCGATTAGTAGGTTTTTTTGGGAAGATGTTTGAACTACATTGTACTGCTAAGAATAAATAAATAAATTTGGATCGGACGATTGTAGGTGTATGATCCCCTTGTGTACACCCAGTATTCAGGAGCACATCCCTGTCCTTTTAGAGTCTAACTCACACAAAACGCTAGGTTGGGATGAAATCGTCGCATACACGGCTCCACCAATTAGAAATTGAAACTTTCTACATTTTTATTCATGCAGGAATTGAGGATATAGGGCACTTCATGCTTCCGTGAGAGTACATCCGACCTTGACTCGTGGGATTACTCTTCCAAGGAACTCAAAAAGTTTCTTTGAAGTTCCCTTTGAAGCTTCTCTTTCCATTCCTCCGCTTAGTCTAAGGCAGGCTCATGTATCACCATTCTCTCTCTCTCATGGCGTATTTGGTTAGAGTTCGTTCACAACTCCTGAGGATTTTTGATTTGGTCGAGTTTTCTGTCCACTGTAGGCCATAGTGCGTACGTATTCTTGCCTGAAGTTTCAGATGGTCAATAAGAGAGCTTTTTGGGCTTCACCATCAGACTTCCTTCCCCATTATAGATAATATTGTCGCCCTCATGCAGCATCTCGTATTTCCTGTTTTCTTGTGGTTTTAAAATGTTGATGCTTTATATTGATTTTTTTGCTCCTGGTATTAAGGATGTCACTTTCTATGGATCCTGGTATTGCTGTTATGCTGTACTGATAGTTTTCTGTCTTAAGTGTTCCTTTATTTGGCTGCACTCTCAAATGATTGCATGTGTTAGTAATGAGCTCGCTGGATATAGTTACCTGCCGTTGTTGTGGATCCTTAACACATAGTATTCTGTTTTCATTCTAATAGTGAAATTCTGCCATTCTGATGTCCGAATTTAGATATTGTCCAAGACTGCATTTTTTTTCCCTATTTTCTCCTGTCATTTTTTCGGAGCTTTAAATTTGTCCTCTTACGGTTTTTGGAATTTTTTTTCTAGGTTAAACTTGTTAAATGCCTTGTTCAGAACATTGTTGTGGACATCTCATTCCAGCAAGTCGGTGGACTATGCACACTATGCTTCCTTGAAAAGGTAGCAGCCAACAATTTTATTTTTTTTTACCGATTTATCTCCCCTGTCAGTGGTAGCGAAACCTCCACGATGATAATTTTTTTGTGTGCTGTGACAGGTTGACCGAATCATAGGCAAAAATCATCTTTTCAAACGTAGTATCATATTAATCAAGGCCTGGTGTTACTATGAAAGCCGGATCCTTGGTGCCCACCACGGTCTGATCTCTACCTATGCATTGGAGACACTGGTCCTGTATATCTTCCATGTTTTCCACCCATCTTTGGATGGTCCCCTGGCAGTGAGTATTCTGCTATATGCATCTTGATTTATTTATTTATTTTGTGTGCCTATTTACGTGTTTTTTCTTCATGAACGGCTGAAATGAATCGTAAATCTACCTGCATCTGACATAAACAGTCTCCTGTGTCTAGGTTTTGTATCGATTCTTGGACTATTTCAGCCAGTTTGACTGGGATAACTATTGCGTCAGTTTGAATGGTCCTGTCCGCTTAACCTCCCTGCCAGATACACCACGTAGGTTATATATCAAGCTCTGTGAAATCTACTTGACTGTGCCTGCTTGTTCTCTAGGTTGCTGAACCTTTCCTCTTCTTCATTTTTTTCTATCTTCCAGCCAAACCCACAGAAGCCGATGGGGCTGACTTGCTGCTCTCCAGGGATTTCCTCAAGAAATGTGAGGACGAATTTGCATCTGCTTTCAGATGGTCGGATAATGCCTCCAACCCTCGGTTATTTCATCGGAAGCATCTCAATATCATCGATCCTCTCAAGGCAAATAACAATCTCGGTCGCAGTGTCAACAAAGGTGCGGATATTCATTTACGGTGCAGTGCAGTCATTTGAGTTCCATTGTGCGTTGACTTCCTTTTAATACGATCATATGCAGGTAATTTTTATCGGATACGAAGTGCTTTCACATTCGGCGCTCGGAAGCTTGGGAGGATACTCACGCTGCCTGAAGAGAGAACAGCTGAGGAGCTCAACAAGTTCTTCACGAACACCTTAGACCGGCATGATAGCGCGGAGAGATCAGACACGCACTGTTTATCTTCTGGCTCTGGTGAGTTCGATTCTATCTCTCTGGAATATGGTGTTCAGAGAAACCCTAAACGAGACACAGAGGATCCCCCGGCTTCTTCCTCTGCAACATTGGATTTCCGGGGAGGGCTGTTCGAGGACATCGTCAAGCTCAGGATTTCCGAGCTGGGCGACCAGCGCCCTCCCTTCAACCAGTTTGCTGGAAATGGAACGGAGGACCATTCCATTTCAGGCATAAGTCCGGCAGGGGATTCAAAGAGCGATGTGGGCGGATCCGGGGCTCCTGAAAACGAGGCTGGAGATTCATCGTCTCCCAAGATTCATCGTTCCTCCGGCAAACCAGACGGAAATGTGTTATGTGGCGAGCCGTCAGAGGTCCCTGAGGCTGTTGCTCCGAACGGCGAGGGTTTCGAGCCTTCTGACCTTTCAGATCTCACTGGAGATTACAACTCCTACATGAGAAATCTTCTGTGCGCTGTGGGCTGCCTCGAGAGGCACCCCCCGGCCTATCCGTTCTACAGCAATCACGGACGGGATGCTCAGCAGATGAATCTGTTTCCGCACATGAATGCCGGTGGAATTGTGGCAAGGCCATTTTCTCCGGCCGGCTACTACCCATTGGGCGCAGCCACCTTCATTCCTGGTGCTTATGCCTTAGAAGACGTCCCAAGGACCCGGGGGACCGGCACATACTTTCCTAATGTGGTAAGTTCATTTTTTTTTACCTGATCAGGGCTTTTCCATGAGAAGACAGAACACTTTTGATTCTTTTTAAAAATTATTATGTTCTTGCATCTTGTCGATTTAATTAATGGGTTTAAAGTGTCGACTTAATCATGTAGAGCCACTGGACGCATCGGGAGAAGCGATTGCCGGGGAGGGGGCGGAGCCAACCTCATCTTGGCCAACAGACGATGATGCCCAGGCCCTGGAACAACAGTCGGCACATGGCGGTGGCGGCGGGGGAGAAGGCGAATGGGGACAAATTCGTCCAGGTGCAGCTCCCTCACTCCAATGGCGGGTACGCTCGAAGGCGGCCCGCTCAATTGGATGTACCTCCACAGCAGCAGCAGCAGCAGCAGCCTTCATCAAGCTCAAACCCACTGCTCGAGAACGAGTTTGAATTTGGGTCCTTGGGGAACATCAAAGTGGCGGCGGTGGCGGCGGCGGCGCCCGCCGGCACCCCCCCACCGGAGACCTCTCTTCCCGACGGCGAGAAGCTCAAGGAGAGCTCGGCCAATGAAAGGTACTTACTAACTACTACTACTACAGTGGGGGGAACCCCTTGATGTTGAATGAATACCCATTGGTTTCATCGGACGGTGGATGGTGCAGGTCGGGGCAGGCGTACCATCTGAAGAACGAGGAGGATTTCCCTCCTCTGGGTGGTGGGTTGGTCCAGTGGAACAGATGACGGAGTTGGTGAAGAAGATGATGGATGGATGGATGGATGGATGGATGTATGGTCTCCGCTAACCGGACCAAGCATTTTTGGTCCTCCCGTGGAGGATGCCCTCTGACCCGGTATTCGTGTATATACTGCTAAGTTCTCCTTACAACTCTCTCTCTCTCTCAATCTCTTTCCCTCTCTAGAGCTCGCTAGAGTACCTGTTGAATTCCCTGTGATGGTTTCGCCCTGCCCTGCCCGCATTGGCCGTGGTGCGTAGGAGAGGAACCTTGTGGGTGGTAGTGTTGCTACCCTTTTGGGTTTTTTTCTTTTTTGTTTTTTCCTTAGACCGTAGACCGTGGCGGTGAAGTATTTACCTGTAAAGTCGGCCAGGGAAGGCTTTCGTTCTCAGTTGAAAGATTGAAGGGAAAAGTTCATAGATTTCTTGGAAGAAAATCTCGTCTTTGTCCGATTCTCTGTGTGTGTCTCTCTCTCTGCTCCCTCTCTCTCTCTCTCTCTCTCTCTCTCTCTCGGGGAGTTGTACCCGAGAAGGAAGGAGCACCCGAGCTACGTAAGAACTTCCTTATTCTTTTTGGTCAGTATGTACAAGATAAACGACGCGAATAAATCAGGAATGAAAAGAAAAAACTATCTGCCGGGGTATGCTCCGGTGTTTACGTGTACAGATTGCAACGAATGACGAAGAACTGAGAAGAAAGAACGAATATGCAGCAAGGGTGGACTAGTTTTCATAGAATTCCTCGCCGGTGTCGTGTGGCTGTTGATCTCGTCTCAGTTCCCGACTTCATTGCCTCCCTTGCTCGGCCCGGACGGCGGTGGAAGCTCCCTCGGGAGGAGCCTCCTCGGAGGAAGAAGGCTCGCCGGCGTTTCGTCCCGCCGGAGCCCAACCACACCCCGCGCCGCCGCCGGAGAAGACGAGTTCAACAGGAGGAGAAGTAGCAGGAGGAAGGGAGCCAGGGCTCTAGGCAGCTTTCGTTCTTCCATAATCTTACGATCTGCGCAGTACGAAAGCTATACAATGTGATCTCTTCCTCTCCCTCTTTTTTTTTTTATTATTCACCGACTTAGCCAGACGGGTGGAGCGAAGAACTATTTAGTTTTCTTGGCGTGCAAGAGAAGAACACGCGGTGACGATGCTGTAAATGAGAAAGCATCGGCGATTGTTCTGATCCTGAGAAGTCAACCTTTGCTCCTCCCCGGCCAAAGAAACGCGGGGTGACGAGATTAATTGCATTAATGCTTTTCACGACCCAAAAAAAACGCATAAATGGTTTTTTATTCTTTTTTCTTGATTTAGACGTCTGTAGAACAATCAATTTAGTTCTTACTTCGAAGGTTCCGAACATTGTTGACTTCTGACGTGTCATTCGCGTTGACCTCTGTTCACCTGCGTCGGGCAGGAAGCCCATTAATGGGGGGGCCAATAGTACGTTGTAGCCCGCGGGAGACGAGACGTCTAGCCCAATAGTGTGGTCCTTGGGCCCATTAATGGGGGAAAGCCTCTGTAGTATGGGCCCATCAGGTGGCCCAGCGATAAGAGCATTATGTATTGAGCCGTCATCTGCTGGGAAGTGATCCAACCAGTTAGTATGTTGGCCCATTAAATGGGGAAAGCCTGTGTCGTATAGGCCCATCAGGTGGCCGGGTGATAAGAGCATTCTTTATTGGGCCGTCTGTCGCTGGGAAACCCCATAAGTATAGTCATTGGGCCCATTAACGGGGGAACCGTCCGTAGTGTGGACCCATCAGGTGCCCTGGGCGATGAGACCGTTCTTTATTGGGCCGTCCGTCCCGGGGAAGTAGGCCCATCAGGTGGAGGCATGTTTGACCGGGAACGTCGACCGGCGGTCCAAGTCCAAATGCATAGACTGACCGCCTCACCTGATCAACGGAGATGAGAAAACCCGACTAAGGTTTGACCAGTCCGAATGTGGACCCCCCCCGCCTCCCTTCTAAGTGAAGCAACTGCAAACTGCGGTGAAAGTCAATTTAATTACCGGGTCTAAAATATCGATTAAATGACGTAGGATGCCCAGGCTTCTGGAACAACAGTCGGGACACGGCAGTGGGGGGGCGGGGACGGCGGCGTTGGTGGCGGGGGAGAAGGCGATTGGGGACAAATCCGGCGAGGTGCAGCCCCCTCGCTCCAATGGCGGGCACGCTCGGAGGTGGCCCGCTCAATTGGATTTGCCTCCACAGCAGCAGCAGTAGCAGCAGCCTCCATCGCGCTCAAACCAACTGTACCCGAGAACGAGCTTGAATTCGGGTCCTTGGAAAAAATCTCGCCTTTGTCCGATTCTCTCTCGCTGTTGGTCCAAGCGGACCGTCGAACAAGATAGAAGGTGCACCCGAGACGCGGAGAAGATCAAAGAAGATGTAGTGGACTATACAAAGAAGATCCGTGAAGATCTTTTACTTACACTTCTTATTGCCCAGTGCGTACAAGATAAACGACGCGAATAAATTAGAATGAAAAAGAAAAAACTATCTGCCGGCGTATGTCCGTGTCTTTACGTGTACAGATTGCAACGAATGACGAAGAACTGAGAAGAAAGAACGAATATGCAGCAAGGGAGGACTAGTTTTCATAGAGTTCCTCGCCGGTGTCGTGTGGCTGTTGATCTCGTCTCAGTTCCCGACTTCATTGCCTCCCTTGCTCGGCCCGGACGGCGGTGGAAGCTCCCTCGGGAGGAGCCTCCTCGGAGGAAGAAGGCTCGCCGGCGTTTCGACCCCCCGGAGCCCAATCACACCCCGCGCCGCCGCGGGAGAAAACGAGTTCGCCAGGGAGAGCAGCAGGAGGAGGAGCAGAGTCAGGGCTCGTCGCAGCTTCCCTTCTTCTTTCATTGCTGATCTTCCGTATGATCCGCGCATTATCTTCTTGTGGTCTTTAATCCTACGCTTGCCGTGAGAAAATTGATCTCCTCTTTTTTTTAAAACTCACCGACTTAACCCAGTTTGCAAGAGACGACTAAAAGTTTTAATGAGGAAACAACGCCGAAAAATACTGCCCGGGCTACGAAACGCGTAGAGATGTGAACCCTTGTCAAAAGTCAATGCCTCAATCCAACTAGGCCGTGACGAGATGAGGCTGGCGTCTAGTTATTTGACCTACAATGAAGAACAATGCACTAATGGATTCCTATTTTTTTCAGTATTTAACCATCCGGTGAGCAGTACTTAACTCTCCACAGGAGCTTCGTCTGAATAATGTTTGCTCTTACCGCAGTCAAAGGGCTCGACCGTTCTGACGACTGACGTGCAAAAACGCGTGGCGATGCCAGCTCTCCGTAGTATGAGCCCATCGGTGTCCCCGGCCATAAGAGTGTTCTTTATTGGGCCATCCATCTGGTAAGTAGGCAAAACCGTGTGGCCATTTGGCCCATTAAAACAGGGAAGCGTCCGTAATATGAGCCAATCAGGTGCCCCGGCGATGGGAACGTTTTTTATTGGGCCGTCCGTCCCAGAGGGAGTGGGCCTACCATTGTGGTACTGGGCCCATCAACGGGGAAGAGTCGAAGATAAGAGCATTCTTTATTGGGCTGTCCATCGCTGTCTTTTGGGCTGTGGGCCATCATCTGGTCATTTGGCTCATTAACGGGAAGCCTCTGTAGATGAGTCCATCATGTGGCCCAGCGATAATAGCATTATTTATTGGGCCATCATCCGCTGGAAAGTGGGCCCATCAGTTGGTCTATTGGCCCATTAAGTTGTGAAAAACCTCTGTGGTATAGGCCCATCAGGTGGCCGTGCGATAAGAACATTCTTTATTGGGCCATCCGTCGCTGGGAAACCCCATGTGTGGTTTTGGACCCATTAACTGGGGAAGCGTCCGCAGAATGGACCCATCAGGTGCCCCGGGCGATGAGACCGTTCTTTATTGGGCCGTCCGTCCCGGGGAAGTAGGCCCATCAAGTGGAGGCATATTTGGCCGGTGTAGCCCCCTCACTCCAATAGCGGGTACGCTCGGAGGCCCGCTCAATTGGATGTGCCTCCACAGCAGCAGCAGCAGCCTTCGTCGTACTCAAGCCCAATTCCCGAGAACGAGCTTGAATTCAGGCTCTTGGGGTCAATTGGCTGCGGTGGCGGCGGCGCTCGCCAGCAAGAGAGAGAGAGAGAGAGAGAGAGAGAGAGAGAGAGAGAAAGAAGGTTGGGGGGGTTGGTGACGTTGCGACGGGAGAAAGAGGCTTCTGCACTGCCCGATCCATAACGAAGGGCGGAAAGAGGCGTCACGCAGACGTAAGGTCACTATAAATCATAATGGCTCAAGACAGACAAGAGAAGTCAAAGGAGGGAGAAGACACGATGCGGGATAAGGGAAGAGAGAGAAGGACCAGAGGGGCCTTTGGAAGAACCTAAGAACACGGGGAGGAGGGGGGTAACGACCCTAGGGCGAGGCAGGCGTACCATCTGAAGAACGAGGATGATTTCCCTCCTCTGACACGGTTCCCCTCTAACGCACCAGGTACTGTAGTGCGAGAGAGAGAGAGAGAGAGAGAGAGAGAGTCGTAAGGAGAATATAGTAGTATATACACGAATACAAGGTCAGAGGGGATCCTCCACGGGACGACCAAAAATGCTTGGTCCGGTTAGCAGAGACCATCCATCATCTTCTTCACCAACTCCGTCACCTGTTCTACTGGACCAACCTCTTGCTACCCCTTTTGGGTTTTCTTTTTGTTTTCCCTTAGACCGTAGACCGTGGCCAGTAAAGTATTTTCCCTTGACCAACCTCATGCAGCCATCGTTTCGGTTGAAAGATCGAAGGGAAACGTTAATAGATTTCTTGGAAAAAATACTTCCCCTTTGTGTCTCTCTATGTGCTCTCTCTCTCTCCCTCTCTCTCTCTCTCTCTCTCTCGGTCGAAGGGAGTCGTCAAAGCGGACCGTCGAACAAGATGGAAGGTGCACCAGAGACGCGGGGAAGATCAAAAAAGATGTTGTGGACAATACAAAGAAGATCCGTGAAGATCTTTTACTTACACTTTTTATTGCCCAGTGCGTACAAGATAAACGACGCGAATGGATCAGAATGAAAAAGAAGAAACTATCTGCCGGCGTATGCTCGAGTCTTTACATGTACAGATTGAAATGAAAGATGAAGAACGGGAAGAAATAATGAATATGTAGGAAGTGAGGGCTAGTTTTCCTAGAGTTTCTCGTCGGTGTCGTTTGTGCTGCATGATCTCGTCTCAGTTCCTAACTTCGTTTCCTCCCTTGCTCGGCCCCGACAACGGTGGACGCCACCTCGGGAGGAGCCTCCTCGGAGGAAGAAGGCTCCCCGTCTCCGTCTTCATGTTCTCTGCAAATTCCGCCGGCGAGAAGCTCGCAGAGTTTCCCCTCGCCGGCGTTTCGACCAGCCGGAGCCCAACCACACCCCGCGCCGCCGCTGAAGAAGACGAGCTCTCCAGGAGAAGTAGCAGGAGGAAGAGCGTAGCAAGGGCTCGAGGAGACTTTCGTTGTTCTTCCATGGGCGATCTTCTGTCTGCACCATGCGCTGTCTTCTCTCTACCGTCAATGATACGCTAGCTCTAAGAAAACTGAACGTCTTCCTCGGTTTTTTTTTAACGCTGCGATTTAAAGCCAGCAAGACGAAGGGATGCTAGCTGGCAACGCTCTTTTTTCTTGCCGTGCAAGAAATTACTAGGCGCTCAATGGAGAGAAACCCCCCCGAACGCATCGACCATCGCTAAACCGCGTGGAGAGGTGGGAACGCTGATGCTCGTGAAGAAAGTCAACTTGCTCTACGCGGAGACGAGATGAAGAGGGTTTTTTATTTGACTTGAGACGAAGTCAAACAGTCCGAATGGATTTTTTATTTTATTTTATTCATTAATTTGTAGAAAAATATATTTCAGTCCCAGGAGGGAATGTATAGATTACTTTCGAACATTCTTATTAACGCGTAAAAACCGCGTGGACTTCTGTTCACGTGCCCCGGTCGGTACAGCCCATTAGTGAGGCCCAATAACACTTTCTACCTCCGCGGGCCGACGACGTCTAGTTCATCAGTGTGGTCCTTGGGCCCATTAACGGGGGAAGAGTCCGTAGTATGGTCCCCATCAAGTGTCCCCGGCGATAAGTGTTCTTTATTGGGCTGTCCGTGACTGGGAAGTGGGCCAATTAGTGTGGTCGTTTGACCCATTAAAAACGGGAACGAGTCTGTAGTTTGGGCCCATCGGGTGGCCGGGCGATGAGAGCGTTCTTTATTGGGCTGTCCGTCCCGGGGAAGTGGGCCCATCAGGTGGAGACATCTTTGACCAGGGACCGACCGGCGGTCCAAGTCCGAAAGCATTAGATAGGTGGGCCTACGTCGCCGATCTCCCGACGACCCCACCAGATCAACGGTGATGCGAAAGCCCGACTAAAGTTTGACCAGGCCAACTCAATTATGGACCCCTTCCCCCCTCCCTTCCTTCTAAGTCAAGCAACTGCGAAGTGCCGGCTTATAGATTATCATGCTTCTTTCATCCTTGACCAGGGGTTTCCGACCAGCAGTCAACGCCTAAAAGCATCTGCTTGGCGGGGCCCGCCAGATTACCAGATCGACGGTGACGGGTGAATCCGTCGAGAGTTTTTTGGGCCCACCCTGTCGGTTATCGGGACCACCCAAATAGAACCAGCTGCAACCAGGGCCCATGTGTGTGGCATGGGAACATGTGACCCAAAAAACGGAGGTCCCACTGACGTGGATGCGTTGACGATGACCCCTAGCTGATCCAGCATTGACCCATTTATTTTTGCCACGTGATTAATTCCATTTAGCAGATGCCACGTGGAAATCGATAATGGGTCGAACGCTATTATAATCACATTTATGTGATTCCTCTTACTCAATAATTTGATACTAGCCGTCATTTTATGAAAAACTGGCGTATACTTGGGATCCGAAGGATGCGGGGCCGGACTATTCTAGCGTGAGCTACCACGTAGGAGTTGACGCGAGTAGTCCAAGACTTTTGTGACCTGCATGCCACGTCGGAGTCGTCGCATAGTCAGCTCAACTGTGAGTACGGTGAGTCAAACTTAGTGACCACCACCTTCAAAGAGGACTTTTTGTGATCATCGTAACGGCATCATCACGGGATTATTCTAACAACTAGGCATACTTTTTGCGACGAGAGTGTAGTAACCCCATGCTAGAAGAAAGTCAAAGCCTCGAAGATCAGGAGTCAACTCATAGGGGGGGGGATTCCAGGGGGAAGAGTGTCAACATACGAACTTGAAGTAGCAGTCCGCTAAGTAAAAGCAAATCTGGTGATAATCAGAGAGCTCGGTTCTCTGGCATAGGGAATAGTCCCCTACGAGAGGCCTAGGCGGCGGAGGCTCCTGTGCCGTCCTGCCTAACTTCACTGCACCGGCGGTGGCGCAACGGCGACGGAGCTCCCTCCTCGATCGCCGTCTCCTCATCGTCAAGTTTTCCGCCGGTCGCCGTCGCCGGCGTCGCTGTCGTTGTCTCCCGCCCCACGGCACCGGCGGCGGGCCCGGACAGAAGGGCGGGGGACCGCCGGCCAGCGGAGGAATTATCAGCTTCTTTTTCCCGTCACCTGCAGAAGTCCGAGATGGCGACTCCTCACCGGCCAAGAACTGGCTCCTGCCGATGGTCTGGTCTTCTGCAGACTGGAAGCAAAACGGATGGCGAGTTTTTTTAACAGTAGATTCATAATAAATGGGTAATCGGAATGCGTGATATTGTTCAAGTTGCTGCTTGCTGATTCTGAGGCAACGCTTATAATGCGATGGCTCTCTTCTTCTGTCACTCGAGCTAGAGCGGGAGAGAGAGAGAGAGGAGGGGGAAGAAGACGAAGGGTCCTGCCTGGAACCCTCCGACCTTTGTGCAGGCCCCGCGCGTGAATCTTACTGTCTCTCTCGTCTCTCCAGTGTCCGTCCTCGACTGCGGTCGTCTTCACGAGATCTTATTTACTGGTTGCCCTAATCCTTCGCGTTGTCCGACGCGTCGGTGACTTCAGCATGGCCGGCCGCTTGCCGGTTGCTGGGTCCTTCATGGTCTCCGGCGGCCCGGAGGAGCTTCCCTTTGCCGGCGGTGGCCTTCACCTCCTTCCTCGTCACCGGCGCCGGGGATCGGCACCGGCGGCGGCAGTTCATTGCCCACTGTTTCTGACTCGTCTCTTTGCACTGCAGCGGACTAAATTCTGCAGTCTGTCAATCTCTCTCTAGATTCAGACTCTGCAAAAGGCGATTTACTACCCTCAGAATATTATTCTTCCGAGATGCGATCTTTTTTTAACCATATTTTAATAAATAATCCTGCATCGAATCATCGGAGCCACTCTAAGGGTGGGGATTATCTCCGGCAATCCTGTCAGGTTGGGTCCACCCTCTTCTCTGTGGCTCCGAGTAAATCTCTCCACTTGACTGCGAGAGCGAGAGAGAGAGAGAGAGAGAGAGAGAGAGAGAGAGAGAGAGAGAGAGGGAGAGAGACTTCGGGCCACCTGTTTTCAGAAGAGCTTCCTTTATCTATTTATCAGGCGTTATCAGGGGAGAGAGGGGAGCGCCGGCCGGGGGGAGAAGTGAGACGAGAGAGTGAGAGGAGAGAAGGGAGCGAAGGTGGTAAGAGGTGTGGGGGGTGCATTTTAAATTCCACTGTTTATGGTCTTCTCGGAGACGGACCGAGATCTGAGGCAGAGCTCCCTGGATAACTGCAGGCGGAGGGAGAGGGGGCCACTGCATCGTGAGATCCCGAGATCTCTTCTTCTTCTTCTTCTCTCTCTCTCTCTCTCTCTTCTTTCTAGTTTTCTCCTCCTCGAATGGAGCCGGGGAGGGGAAGAGGGCGGCGAAGGAGGTCCATATCTTCTTCTTCTTCTTCAAGAGGGTCCTCCGTCCTCTCCATCTCCTTCTGCTGCTGCTGCTGCTTCTCCCTCTTCGCTCTCTCCGCCATGGCCGCCGAAGCAGGTGAGAAGGATCCCCTTCCCCACTTAGAGAGAGAAAGTCCCAAGAATCGTCGCTTCTAAATTTAGCCTTCCCTCGTTCGCTCTCTGGTTCTTCCCTTCTCTCTTCTGCTGGCCGGGCCTTGAAAGCTGATCGATCGTTGATTCTCGTGCTTGAAGCAGCGGCAGCAGCAACGGCAGGGAATTCCTGCGGGAGAGAGAGGAAGCCGACGGCGGCGGCGGCGGAGGAGGAGCTGTGGCGGCGGAGCACGATAACGGCGGCGGCGGCGGCGAGGGGGAGGAGCCTGCTGGGGCCGGGGTCGTACCCGCCGCGGTGCTCGTCAAAGTGCGGTGATTGCACCCCCTGCAGACCTGTCCACGTGGCGGTTCCACCGGGCACGCCCGTTCTTACGGAGTACTACCCCGAGGCCTGGCGGTGCAAATGCGGCGGCAGACTCTACATGCCCTGATCTGCGCCACCGGCACCCCGTTGACGAGCCGCTTTTTGCCACGTCATCTCATGGCCCCGGATGTCCGGAGCGAGTGGAGAGAGTGGAGAGAGTGGAGAGGTTTAGAGAGAGAGAGAGAGAGAGAGCCAACAAATGTGTGTATAATAGCGCCGAAAAACCTCCTCCTTTCTCTCTCTTGACCTCGTATCGTGCGTCCATGGTTGACTGATTGGTTATCGACGACCATTTCCCACAACCGGTGGAAATAGATGGATTGATAGATAGATAGGGAGAGAGAGAGAGATAGGGAGAGAGAGAGAGAGTGGGGTTTAAGTAGGAAGCCCACCCCAATACAGTCCCAGGGCCCAGCCCAAAGGCCCACGGGCGTTTCTTTGAATGGGGATTTCAGTTTTTAGTCCTAAAAAATAATAAAAATAATTTAAATCCTTTACTTTATGCATATTATAAAGGCATCCCCACCACCCCCTCTTAACCATAGCTGACCTACACACGCCTCAAAAAAATCTCTCTCTCAGGGACTTTTTTTCTTTATTTAGTAAATTTAACGGAGTTACATGTTAAGAGAAATATTTTGAGCATTTTTGTTTACACGTCAGGATGACCCATGAATAATATCGAGAAAGAGGAGGTATGCCAATAATGTTAAGACTTTCTGGGTACTAAAACAGAGAAAGCCCTCTCTTAAATGGGCCAATTGTGGATCAGAAGGCCCATGACGCTGCCAGGGCTAGTTCGTAGCAGCTCGTACGGCCACTAGGTCTGGTGACGTGGTCCTTGGTGGCAAGCCACGTCAGCTCCACGAGTTGGCGGGAAGGCGTGCCCTTTCCCGCGCAAAATGGTGGCCTTTTCCCCATCTAACGGCACCGCGCGCAGCAGAGAGAACCAGAGGCCGAGCGAACGAGAGAGAGAGAGAAAGAAGAGACAGGTGGGGGTGGGGTAGAGAGAGAGGAGGGAAGGAGGGAGAGAGGAGAAGGTAGGGAGGATGGTGGGGCTGCCGTACGACTGCCTCTCGAACCCTCTTGGGGCGGTGCGGGTGACCTTTGAGAAGGCCGTTGCGGGTTCTCCCGACTTCGATCCAGCGACGTTCGATCGCAAAGACTGGGGTGCCGTCGATGTCTTCCGCAGCTTTCTCTTCAACGACGGCGGCCTCTCGCAGGTATAGCAAACGGCGCAGAGATCGTTTCCCGCATCTTACACGACTTGATCGATCACGTCGATAAGGTCGAATCGTATTGAATGTTTTGTTTTCTGTTCACTTGGTTCCACTTCGAGACCGTAGTCATTTTCTCTTCGCTTTTGCTACTGCTATTTGTCTGATTGAGGTAAACGTACCCCGAGCTTATGTTTTTTACGTGTGTGCTACCGGGAAACTTTGAAAGGAGGCCAAGAATCATTCCTTTTGGGATCGGAATTTTACACTTCCAATGTTTCGTGAATGTTCTTGTCCGTTGTGTATTCATGTTTTTCTTAATTCTTTTTTGTGAAAATATTACCGAAGGATCATTCAGCTATTTCTAGGGATTCACGATTGTCTTGAGAATGTCGGAGTTGATGCCTGAGAAGTTAACAAATGGATGACGCAATTTTGGCCCCCTCTTGGTCACAGGTTCTTGTTCTAGAACAATCGAATCTCCACCTTATCCGTCCCAATTCTCTCGTGCGTTTTAGAGGGATGGTTCAAGACATGCTCGGCAATGAATTATACATCGGTGCTTTTAAGGTATTGTCCTCCCCCTGCGATTCCTTGCGCTCATCTTTTGTGTGGATATGATCTACTTTAACCCTTAGTGCTCTTCATTTCTCATAGGATGGTTCGACATGGAGAACTAATAAATTCACAGATGTTGCTCCAGTTCCTATATCGCCTGCATCCCAAACTCGACTTTGGGAAAGGCGCCTGTTATATTGTGTCCCAGTGAGATGCTAACCTTCTGCTGCATTTTAGATTATCTAGAGTGGAACATCCGATATCTTAGGCATTAAGTGTTTTAATGCTGTCAGGTTCCCGGACAAAATACATGGGTCTCAGAGGTCTGTCCTTCTACTCAATTTCCCACAAACCTATCGAATGATCATTCATTAAATTACGGAGAAAAGCGAAGGAGAGAAGACAATGCTAACATGGATTTTGATGTAAGTAAATATTCCCTGCGCACTTGTACATTTTGTGTATCCTCTGTCAACTAACTTTAGTTATCTGCAGGAAGTTGGCCTTGCGGAAAGGATTGCAACTTCGGGTAGCAAAAAACAGGTGTGCTACATAACCGAGTGCCATATACTTGCCAGGAGCAAATGACGGATGATTTTTTGAAACTGTGGCCAATAAATATTCCTTCGGTTGGATCAACATGGCAGTCTGTTTGTTGCTTTATAGGATTGTGGTTTTGAGATATTTCACTCTTATTGCATTATTAGTGGCAGGTCTAGAACGTTTTTTTATAGATATAGGATTGACCCTGCCACTGAATCTGCGATCATCCTGACAGGTTCTGAGATTTACATCATTATCAAATACCGGATGACGGATTGTAGTTTCGGTGGCGTCAGTTTATCTGAACTCTCGATGATGTTGTAGTTCTATGTAGCAGTGATATACGAATCCCAAAAACCACGTTCCATTGCTACAATAAGCCGCATGTTCGCCAGAAGATACATAACTCTGCGTTTATACTACAGCTTGGTATCCTTGAACCTACGGAATTTGTCATGTATGAAAGTTAGCTTGAACGACCAAATATTTAGTACATTATCCTAATAAAAACTTCAAACGCGCTGTGAGAAGTTTTGCTTTCGTTTTAGGGGGTGGTATCTGAGATGAACTTCCAATGTCTGTAAATGGTTTGCTTCTGCATATGATAAAAAATGTAATCGTTGATTATATTTGGTAGTTATCACTTGGAGTTTCACCCCCGCTAAAAATAAGAGCTGGATTAGGGATGATGTAAGGACTTCGAAAGTGCTGTTTGAATTTGGATCGATTTCTAATGGGTGTAATGCAGCCTGTAATGACGTGTTGATTTTTGGCTAAAAGCCGGGGTAGGAGTATTCAAAGCTGTTGCAATAAGTGTGGCATGTCCAAAAGGGGGATTCTTGTCTGCAGGGTTTCAATTTAGTACATGCCTGCCAACCAGAAGGATTTCTGTGACAAAGAGCTCTGCTGCATTTGATATGCTTTTAACCAAGCTCCACTAGCTGTATTTACGACGACATGGCACATTTAGAATGTTAAAGCTTGTCTTCTGAAATAATTTTTTTGGGCTATGTTGTGTGATATTAAAATATCCTTTTCAGAAAGAGGGTGAACTCTCTTCTTTATCCCCTCTAGAGATGGTTACTCGAGATGTTGCCTTCAATTCCAGGATAAGCCCTCTTGATGCGGGTTCCCTGTCATGCCTAGTCAAGGTAAAATGTCTACTGTCGCTTTACAAAGCACTCTGGTTTAATATCATTCGTCAAGGATATCTTTTATGACATCTTTTTCAATTTCTGACAGATTTACGACATGCCTGAGAATGATATAAAATTAAATGACGTGATTGAGTTCATAGGTGTCTACACTTTCGATCCGGATGTAGCAGTTCATGACAGTAACGATGCCGATGAGTTCCCATATGGACTCATGGAAGATATCTCTGTTCATTTGCCTCCTAGTAAGGTTTGTGGATCTGACACCGAAGGATTCGATTTCTGTGCCTTCATTATATATCTGCATAGTTTTTTATTTTCTTCATCGCCTCCAATCAACTGCTGAGACTATTTTCGGACTCGGCTGGCCTCAAAACTTAACTTTTCATGCTACTCAGTCAACTCCATCAGGATACCGAAATGGGTAATTAGGATCATCAACTCGGTGTGTCAATGGGCTTCTTCCCTTTTCACTTTTGGGTAGGTTACCTTCAGTTACGGGCTACTGCCGTTCTATGCCATTCACTGTCTATTCCTCATGCTTAAGGACTTCTTTTTCAGTGCTATGGCACAAGCCTTCGCTATGCTATTTTCTTCAACCTTGACTCTAATTATTCTCTCAATCAGGTTCAGCAAATGGTTGGAAAATACCTAAACCCTATCTTCGTGCCGTTATTTGAAGCTACAGAGCAGTCTTCTATCTGATATCTACAACTCATGTTCGAAGCTTTGTTGCAGGTGCCTCGCCTTCATTGCTTAACCTTTCAGAAAATGAGTCCTCAGGATCTTGTATCCAGGTCGTGCTTCATCGAGGTGATTCTTACCAGTTCAAGAAAATCACATACCGCGAATAGATGTTAATTCTGTGGTAGACATAAGGGACCAGCTTTGCCTCAAATAGATTGAATAATTTTTCATCTCTCTGTTGAGTCAAACTTAGGATTCACTTTCAACTTCCTGTGCTCGATTGCTGATGGGTTCCGTTGCCTTCAGGGTTTGCCTTCTGCGGTGAGAGTTGTTCGTGAATCCTTGCTGAGGCACCTCACAGCAGTCCTGGGAAATGATGGGCTGGCGGCCCAATTCATTTTGCTGCATCTTCTATCAAGGGTACGCCATTTTCCCCTGTATTTCTGTTCACCCTATCTATCATTGGAACAGATTAAAAGCCTCAAGAGCAAAATTGAGATTAACTAGGAGACACTTAGCCTCAAGAGCACCATTAATACTGTTTTAGTTATGCTTTTAATCTGACGTAAACACACACAACTGAGATAGTCTCTCTGTCTCTGTCTCTGTCTCTCTCTCTCTCTCTCTCTCTCTCTCTCTCTCTCTCTCTCTCTCTTTCTATGTGTTTCTTTCTCGCCGGCAGGTCCGGGCGAGAGTGGATGTGGTGGTGGTGGGCAAACTCTCGGTGAACCTGACTGGCTTCACCCGAGAGAGCGCGTCAATCTTTGGAAATGAGCTCGTTCGATCGATTGGGGACTTGCTGCCGTTCTCGCAAGCGATCCCCCTCTCCGTGGAGTATCTCAACACGACCCAGCTCCAACCCAGGAAAGATAACTCCACCGGAAGGTTGACCATACTTGGCGGCTTTTTCTTCTTCTGGAGATTTCTATATTCATATCTATCTTTTGGTATTCATTCATATATCTCCAGGATGATCGCTGGGATCCTGCAACTGGCGCAGGGCACCCACTTGACCGTGGATGAAACTCGCCTGGACGCCGGAACTCTCAACGCCGCCGGCGTCGAGAACGCGAGGCTGCTCAGACAGCTGCTGGAGTGGCAGACAGTGGGTCTTCCATGATTGATCATTTAAATTCGTGGTTGAGGCTTCCTCAGACCCTAATCATCTGGCGTTGACTTTCAGGTGGGTTACGACTGCGAGTACTACAAGCTGGACCTGGCTTCGGACGTCCAGGTGCTGGTCTTATCAGACAGGAAGTCAAACGTCCTCCCAGCGGATGTTGTCTTGCCTTTCCATCCCGTTGAGGCGAGGTCAACGGTGGAGGCGCCCGGTGAAGAGGAGCTCCGAGCCTGGAGGTGGTACTTGGCCGCCATGAGATCCCTCCCTCTCTCTATCGGCTCCCAAATGCAGAAGGTATTTTTCGCCCATTCCAGAGAGAGAAAGGAAGGAACAGGGGAGTGCTGGCACCATGGGAATCGGGATTGGGTCGTTAGAATGCTCGCTCATTGGTCCTCAACCGTGCTGTGGCAGGTCATCGAAGACGACTTCGTGGCTTCGAGGCAGGAAGACAAGACCCTCAAAGGCGAAGACTTGAGCAGGTTTGCGGGGCACTGGCTCTCTTCTTCCCTGGTCACCCATTCGCTCTCTCTCTCTCTCTAAATTTTTTTCTTTGGGGCGTTTGGTTTCGCTGGTTCTGGTGGCAGGTGGGTGACGATGGGTCAGCTGATGTCGGCCAGCTTCGGCGAGACGCAGCTGTCGCTGGAGCACTGGCAGATGGTGAAGGAGATGGAGAGGCTGAGGAGGGAGAGGCTCAGCTGAATGTCCCTCAAGATGCTGTAACAGCAGGCCAAGCCAACTTCCCTCTCTAAACAGATGCTCCCCCTCTCCTGCGTTCTCTCTATAATCCTTAGCAGAAGGGCTTCAATGGGTCTTTCTCTCTTTCCCTCTCTCGAATCGGTTAACAGAAAGGCAATGCAAGAGAATGCTTAATGCCCGTATGTATAAAAACAAGTAAATCGCCGACGAGATTACAGCACCCTCTGCTCCAGCTCCCGCCAATCTTAGAGGATGAATAGTTGGCAAAAAGCTTCCGAGGAGATCAACGCCGACGAAGGATCTACAGTTCACTATCTCCCTCTCTCTCTCTCTCTCTCTCTCTCTCTCTCTTTCCTAAGATGATATGAACCAAACAAACCCACCCTTCTCTCTCTCTCTCATAATTATCATCATAGCCGCCTGAGGGTGCCGTCCTGCTGCCTTGTACCTTGGAGAGAGCGGGCAGGCAGAGGCTGACTGTACATCGAGGCCGGCAGGAAGAACCTCCCGAGGTGGGGCGGCCTGACTGGGTTGGGGATCCCAACGTTCTTCCTCCAGGCCGCCGCCCAATTTCTGAGAAAGGACGCCACAAAAAATGAAATGCAAAAAAATGAGACACTCGGGAGAGCTCATAGCAGGGAAGAAAACGCGTGCACAGACACGAAAGCTCGGCTCAGAACAAGCTGCAAGAGAGACGAATAATCATCGCATGGAGTCAGCACTGGGCTGGCTGCTCACTACACGAAGCAGCCTGCCAAGCACCGTTAGCCTCATATCTGTACAATCGACAGCCCAAGATCAGACGGACTATTCTGCTGCTTGTTCTCTCTCTCTGTTCCTCTCTCTCGATTCTGGAACCCTCACTCAGCACGTAGCTTTCTTTGAAGCTGGTGCAGAGCCAAAGAATGACGAATCCAAGGAAAACACCCCTAAAAGCTATGCAGGGCAAGCAAAAGAATGTGAAAATTCCCCCAAGCCGCCTGCCCCGGAGGGCATGATGCACAGAGGACTAGCAACAGAATGTTCCATCTAAAACTAATGATTCGGTTAACATTTTTGCCACCATATATGGGACCTCAGATGTTTCTCAATGAAAGGTTAATATGAGAAAAAAGAACATATAATCAATGGTTGGGTTGTTGGTTGGTTTCATAATTTGCTTGAACATCCTACAAAATCCTGGGATTCAACCGAGGTAGCTTACCTCTTTTGAGGCCGGGGTAATTGTATATAACCAGCAATTGTTCTATGAATTGAAGTGACAGAAAAAATTGCCCAAAGTTTATTAATTGATAGAACTACCTGAAGGAATTTAAGTGGAGGATAACATTCAGGTCTAGGTTGACTAGGTAAGGACATTCTGAGAGTTTCAGAATGTTTATGTCATATATCCAATGGCATCCGCCCCTTGAACCTCTTTGACATTTTTCTAAAACGACACAGGAGGTAAGTAGAAAAAAAACATAACCCATCTTCACAGTCGCCAATAGGAATATCAAACGAGTCATCTTCACAGCACCGTTGATAGTAAGAACAGAAAACAAAGAAAACAGGCATTTTAATCAAAAAATAAAACAGAAAAAACACCAGATGCGGCAATCATATCAAACGAGATGACAAATAGAAGTTTCAGCGTAGAAGGCATGCCTTAGAACTTACCCGGGACAGTAATAGGCTTGAGATTGATCAAGTGGCAGACCCGAAGCATATATGTTTGGACTTCCAAACGTTTCCTCCTGAGCCACACCGCCGTGGAATCTGGGGTGAGGAAAATGGTTTTCCCCGTCACCCGGAAAAGAGTGCAACGGGGAAAACCAAGGATCCTTTGCGGTGAATGGACTCACCAATCCATCATCCCCGGGGTTTCCAGTGCAGACACTGTCAGAATGCTTGAATGTGCTTCTCAAGATGTTCTTCTCCATCACACCAACAGACGTGACAGGATTCTCGGCTGGTGGACGAGTGATTGCATCCGGAGTAACTCTATCCTGCTCCAGGGCTGAAAGCCAGCTTGCGGGCCCCCCAACTAAATCCAGTCCATCCTTACACAAAGAAGAACTCCACATTTGCCATGTTCCCTGCTCATTGACATTCTTAGATTCACCCTCAGGCAAGGCACTCGGATCTTGCAGGTTTGGGCTGCAAGAACCAGAACCAGAACCAGAACCAGTGTGCCTTCCTTTGGACATCCACAATTTTGACAAGGGTGATTCAATTGGAGAAGGCCTCTTCACGTCAGTGGAGTCGCATACTTTCCTCAGACTACGAGATTTTGAATCCGATATAAAGTCGTCTTTAAAATCAGATCCAGAGCCTGCTGAATGATTGTCCCGAGACTCTGAAATGGACCCGATCATTGAGGCAGGGTCAGGGACAAAGCACGGGTCTTGAAATAGTTCCTTCTCCGTACGAGAATTATGTCCCAGCTCTCTGGAAAGCGGGACTCTGGACTCCGAAACTGTGGGAGAAGATGGGATATTGGACAAAGAACCATTTGTCGAAGGATCGTTTGTCAAAGCCAAGGACTGTTCAAACAGCATCTGCTTGGTTGAAGGCTGGCTTGGAGATCTACCATCTGCCAAATCCGAAGATTTACCTTCCGGGTTACCCGTCTGATCTACTTTCTTCCCAACATTTTCCTCAGGAGATGGACGTAGCGAAGGGCGAGCAAATAGCTGATGCCATGCTTTTTTTGGGGTGCTTGTTTGAGTCGGATCCAGAGCGACCTGGTGAACGGTGTTCCACAAATCAAACAAGGATGCAATAAGAACATCAAGCATAACCACGAGGTTTATGTCCTGTATGTGACGCCCTCAAGAAAGAACTCAAAACAGGGCGGGATAGATTTGAATGAAAGAGAGCTTACAGGCCGAGGGCAAGCATTTCCAGACGTTCCGGAATCTCCATTTGATGAAGGTTCTCCAGAAGCATGGACTACAGCACCAGCGTCCTTCCTCTGCCCCTTGTCCACATTGCCAACAACAGGCTTATTCGACCTGCTACCAGGGACAGTAACAGAGTGGGAATTCTTGCCAAATAGAGTCCATCCATTAGAACTTCTAGATGATGACAGAGAAGCCCCCTTCACGCCATCAAAGTACTTGGATTTATGTGCCGCACCCACTACACCACTCGCAACTTCTGCATGCATTCTCTGGTTTCTACACGAGTCCTGCTTTGCATGGTCGTTCTTCCTTTCGAACTCACGCTTCCTTTCGGCTTCCTTATCCACCCTGCTGTCATGATCTTCCCCGTCAGAGTTACTTTTACTAGAGTTCTTGTCTTTCTCCTTCTTTCTACTTCGCCTCCTCTTATCGGATTCTTCTTTTCCCCCGCCCCTGGATCCGTCCAAGGCCAAGACCTTCAGTCTCTCTTTATTAGCTTCTTCCATTTGTTCGTCCCTAAGCTTCCTCCTTTCCTCTATTAATCTGGCAACTTCTTCCCTCTGTTTCCTCTCTTCTTCTTCTAACATTTCCTTCTCCAGCCTCGCCAGCCTCTTTTCTTCCGCCTTCCTCCTCGCTTTCTCTCCCTTGCTGCCTTGCCCGACATGTTCAATGCCTTTCGACGATCCTTTGTGCTCTGCGCCCGAAACACCGTCTTCAACGAGAGAACCCAGCTTCATGACCTTCCCACAGAACCGACTCGTGAAAGAGAAAAATGAAGAAAGAAGTCGCCATGTGAAGACTGCGCCCCGCGAGCAGGCCTCCTCTTCGGAACCTTGCTCTTCGACGCCGCCTGCCCAATGCCGTGAGGCATGACTCCCATGACCGTCCCAATGCCCACCTCCTTGCGCTGAGCACTCGAGGTTCCAAAACCAACCGTTCTTCCCGATCAAGTTACCGAGGACCCCTGATCTTCCAGGAGGACCCGGGAGGTCCAAGATCGGTCTCTTGGACAGGTGCCCGCAATAGGAGCACATGAACTTGCCGCCGCCGGGGTTCTGGTCGCGGTAGGGTGCGAGGCAGTTGCGACACCGCCGTGTGGCAGTCTTCCGGAGCTTCTGCACCTCGACGGCGAAGCTCAGTTGCTGCTCCCGGATCCGTGCGCGCCTAAGTGCTCGATATACAGACAGCTGAGGCAGGAGAATCTCGTACCAGAAGATCGTACCGAGGAGAACCGCCACACAGGCCAAGCGCGGAGACGTGATCTCGAACCGGAGACCCGGAGGGAGAAGCTGGGAGACGGCCCATAGCAGGATGAGGGGAATCACCAGCCACGGAAGCATGCCGATAGCCCGACGGGACCACCTCTGCACCACGCAGAGTATACACATTATCAGACGCCCGCCGCTTCCTTCCGACGAAATCGCCGCCTTCCACCACCCAAAGATGCAGACCAGGAGGCTTTCCACCCGACGAGCACCGCCGGCCTCATCCAACAACGACAGCCGCCGGCACAACAACACTGAACCTCTTTCCAGTAAATCCGCAAAGCCGCCTCGAAACCCAAATCCACCGGAGCCCTAATCGGCGGAAAAATTTACCGCCGAACGAGCAATCGCCAATCTCTCCACCAGCAAGGAGAGGCCGCGAGCCGGAAAACTCGATCGATCGAAAGGCGACGGAGGACACAACGAGAGGGAAGCATACAGATTCATCTCCCCGGGGAAGCCACCGCGGTATCTGCGGCTGTGACCGCCACGGAAGGAACACCGACCAAGGGAATAAGGGAGATGAACGAGATAAGAAGGAAGAACTCATTTATTGCGATTTTATGAATTTATCTATATTAAATACTACATTACTAAATTATAACCAATTTACTTTTTATTCACCAATGTACCCAAAATCCATAGACAATCCTTTCTACGTAAATATTTATCCTTTAATACTTTCACGTAGCTATCTACATAGATGGGGTCTTCAGTACAAAATAAGTAGATTTAAAGAGGGCAAGAGCAGAAGAGAAGAGAGGACAGGACAGGACGGGCTCTCTCTCTCTCTCTCTCTCTCTCTCGCTCTTCAGCTGTGCGACTCTCCGCCAAGATTTCTTCTGACGGATGCGCTGAGAGCTCGGTTCCGATCGCGGTCGGGTACTATCCTTCGTGTTCATAGCTTCGCCCTGGGTGCGCGTATCTACGGGAGGGAAGGTAGAAGGCATTAGATCATGCAAGCGAGATGAAGATGAGCGTGGAGCAGGCTGAAATGAAGAACAAGGACAGATTTTTGGAGGGCAAGGACTTGAGATTTCCCACGAAACGATGGGGATCTAGGGAGAGAACAAAGCTGAGCATGGGCGAGTGTAGGACTGGAAAGGAGGGGTACGTTTCAGGAAGGTTCTTGGGCATCTTCGGGCTGGCTTCTTGTATGTCCCAAGGGCAAGTCATCGGCGTGGTAGAGTGCGTAATCAGGGGCTGCGGTCACCATCTTCGTGACCATCGGCAACCACCATCACCTCCACCGCCGCCGGGAACATTATGCAGGGTGCGTCTACCACCGCTGCCGCAGCCAACGCAGCCACCGCCGGTAAGATAAGGCGGAGAGCTTCTGCTACGACCACAATCGTATCCATCTCCCTGTTCGTCAATCTAAACGGAGCTCCCATCGCGCTCGACAAAAGAAATCTTGAAGGAGAGTTGCGGAGGTGAATAGCAGTGGATGGAGAGCCCTTCCTCCCCTCCCCTCCCCTCCCTCATCGTTAAATCTACCTATTTTGTGCTGAAAAACACCAAATAAATTGAAACTCATATAAAAGTATTGAAGGATAGAGAGCCCAGAGGCGTATATCTTGTAGTGGGTACTCCTTCAGATACGATATCTTCTTTATGGGTCACTATCGCGGCTGAATTTGCACAACTTCTTAATACTTTTATTCAAGTTTTAATATATTTAGGATGTTTGTTCAGTATTTTTGGGGTTTCTAGTGCAAAATAAGCATCGTATTTTCCAGAGAAAATCTATTTTTTCTCTCTCCTATGTTTTTTTCTTTCTTTTTCTAAGTCACCACATGAGTCTACATACTCTCTCTCTCTCTCTCTCTCTCTCTCTCTCTATGCACCAGACTAGTTGGCACAACTTTATGTGGTGGGTTGGCACAACTTCTGTGAGTCAACATATGATCAACACACTTTTTCTATTGACTATTATTTTCTTTTTGAAACTACGTCTTTTTACTCTAATTTGATATATCTCTATGCATATGAGTTTGTTGACATATTTTATTATTTATATGATTTGTGTAACACATATTTACTAAAAATGAAGAAGAAAACTAGAGAATATTTTAGATCTTAATTCTGAAGTTGGTGTAGTCAAACATATTTCATAGTATTTTCATTTTATCTTTATATGATTAGTAATAAATAGAAAAATCCTTATACCCAATAGAACTCTATTTGCAAAAGTCTTGAAGATATGGAGACAAATCATCATAAGGTTGACAAGGTAAGCCACCATATGGTTTTATGTTGATGAAATTGCAAGTGAGAGGGGGTAGTGTTGGTGGTTGTTTCTTTCATCACCTCATATTTAGGTTTTCAAAGGTTGAGACAAAGGATAATTTAATCTCTTTTCCAAACTATGCTAAATATGTTTTACTAGATTTTTATGAAAAAGCTGAAAGAATTTTCAAGGGTTCAATTTTCATTAATGTGTTTTTTTTTTTGTTCCATGTACTTAACTAAAAGTGCACTTGTGCTCTAGAGATTGGTTGCATGCATATTCTTGCACTTTTACTAAAATGTTAACCTTCTCATTGTAAAAATCACACATTATTTCTTAATACATAAATATAATTTTCTTATTTTTATAACTCCATTTTCTAGGAAAACCAAATTGTACTATATTCTACTTACAAAGGAGACAACACAAACTCCAAAGCCAATTATGTTAGTTATGATTATGAATCTTAAATCAAAAGAAAAGTCATTGTCAAATAAAAGTCAACACAATAAGAAAACTATTGACAAGTTTGGTTACATTAGTCTCATTTGTATGACAATATTTAATTTGATTAATTCTTATATAAGAAGGTACACTAGTAATATTGTATGAAGATTCATATTACTCCATTTGTTAAGCGAAAGGGTGACTTATGGAATCACATTAAATCTATGTTGAACATGTTAAGTTATCTTAGGCAACACTATAGTCCAAGAGGGGGTTGAATTGAGTTTTTTCATTTACCTTCTTTTCTCACATGTTGGGCAATTACAATCAAGAGTCACACATCACAATTTTTACAGGTTCAATCAATAAGAGCTAGTCTACTCTCCAAGAACAACATACTTCAATTTCATAGAGTTACATGTGAAACACACTTGTTTGATGACTTAAGAAAGCTTCTAGCAAATATATAAGCCTCAACAAACCTATGTTTTAGATCCTATGACTATAGTGACTAAATACTAAATATTGTGTTCTCAACTACCCTATATTTTTGATCCTATAGCTCTAATGACCAACTACTAAATATGCAAGCCTATGTGCTGAATGTTGAGGTTTTAACAAATCTAAACAAGGTTAAGAATAGTTCCATGTTCTTACTAATACAACCCATAGCTTATTTTGCTTGAAAATCTTGATGTAAGATGGAATAAGTGAATACATAAACATGTGTTTTCTTCTCTCCTCCTATTCAGATAAGGATTGATGCTTGAACTCCTTGTAAGAAGAGGGTAGACATGAAGAGGGTCTCTCTCTAAATTTCTTCCATTATTACTAAAAGTTTAATATAAGCTAAAATATTCCCTTTATATTCATCATAATAGGCCATCCAACAATTTAGTTTCAATAGATGGATAACAATTCATTTTGGGTCATGTCTTAACATAAAACTTAAATTGTAAATATGTTCACTAATCCTTAAAAAATGATAAAAGTTTGAAATATTTGACTTTTGACATACTATTTCTTGCATCACTTTTTTCATCTAATTATATTTATAGTAAAAAGTTGCATGCTTCTATGGCACCAACTTGTCCTTGATTGCTTACTTTTAGGATAACATAAAATCATCACCTAAAGATCATTATATATTATTTTTCATCATCAAATAATTAAGTCTCTCAAAACCAATATAACAAGAATACAAACAAGGAGGCAAATTTATAGCAACAGTAGGTTGACCAAGGCTAACTGATATTGCATCTAAACAAGAACAAAGAGAATGAAAGAGGAGAAAAAAATTGATCATAGATGATGATAAGATTTGAAAAATGGCTTCTTCATATTACTCCTGCAAACATCTTATTGCTTATCTTCATATTGGGTTCTACATTCCAAGAGCATATCATCAGTGTGGTCATGTGCATAATCAGTGGTTGTCATCACCATATTCATATCCATCAGTGACTGCCGTCAACAACAGCCAAGATGGCTCTTGTACTCCCACTGAAATGGCCACCAGTATTTGACAGGATGATGGGTACATGAACCCAATGTCTAACAGCCTTGAAAATAGATGAGGTGGATAGGAAACAACCTTGAAAATCATATTGGTTGGAATGATAAATTCAAGTGAGTCAGTTTTTCATACCATAATTTATTTATCATTTTTAAATCATTTTCTTTTAGCTAGATTTTATTTTTTTTAGTTGTGTAACTCCAAAAATTAAAATAAAGCTTGTTGCCATGCACTTTCCATTTGGATGGACCCTTGACCCTTACCCTCAAGCCTCCTCCCCCACTCCCACATCTCTAGCCTCTCTTTCCTCACCCTTTTCTCCAGCACTCCAAACACCAATCAAGTCATACTTGAAATAGTGCTACCATAGTAGTAACTAAGGGTTTCAAGTGGTGTCATCTCAAGGAGACCACATTTTAAAGAGATAATAAGCTAGGGCAAACCCCAGTGGGTCATGTGTGCACATTGATGAATCCTTTGTACTCATTTTTACAAAGAGACTCATATTTTTTTGAAAGTGAAAAGGATAGCATCTTTAGAGGTTAAATGAAAAGCCATGTATTATATCTTTAAAAAAATTAAAGAATATTCGAGATTAGTTATCTTAGTTGGTGACAGTAAGTATGGAACAAAGACAATATCGAGATAACATGTTGGCTACTTCACGTGAAAGTCTATTGTGGGGACTGCATGTTGATGTTCTTAGTTTTGATAATTACAAATAAATATTTATTAATAAGTTATTATATAATTTTGATACTTCCTTATATATGCCACATGCTTTAATTTTTTTATATTCATTTCCTTCATTAAATAATTATGGTCTTATTACTAATGACCAAACTTAAGATTTAAATTCTTGAGATCAATTAGTTTTTGTTCTCTTATGAATACTACAAGAGAAATAATTATCAATTGAAGAAAGATTGAAAAACAAAAGTTTAATTATATGGTCATATGATATGAAGTGACACATATCATCATATTGGTAAAAGTAAAATATTTTTTTATAGATTATATATAATGATCCAACCATGCAGTTTTTGCATTTATCATTTATATATGAAATTAGATAAATTTTCTGAGCTATCATATGCATTAAATTAACAAGAGAACAAATAGATCAAATATTTACATTTAGAAATAATATCTTAATGATGATGACATGTTAGATGCTTATGTGGACAAAAAGTGAAGATATGATTTAGATTCTCTATAGGCACTCAATTATTCTTTATCAAGTTTGAAAGTTTTATTTTGGATTTTAATTCAAAAGTATAAAAATAAGAAGATTCAAAATGGAAAGTTCCAAGCATTATTACCCCACATTGTAAAAAATGACAAGTTTTTGAATAAGATTATGGAATGCTAGAGGTATGAAAACACAAGAAAATTGAATATGATGAAGGCCTATTTATTTCAGATGTATTATGGACTGAAATAATAAGAAAATATATAAAGATTCAACACCTATTATCAATTTTTAATTTTGTATGTATCAATGACAAAGAAATAAGCTTCATCTTCTTCATCAAATTAATTCAACAAATGGTCAACTCATCTATTACAACTAGTGTTCTTCATTGGGTCTTGAAGTAACTAAGTGGTGACTGGAGAATGTATTTGATGAAGTCACAAGGTGTTAGTAATTGTATTTGGCTCTAGAGGGCAAAGTCTCTATAGAGACAATCCTTGAGAGATTTGGATACTTGATCCTGTTAAAATTGGTTTGTAGTATTAAAGAGAATAATTAATACTAGAGCATGGTTTTTTTGCAATATTAGAATGGGGGGTGAACTAGTTTCAAAAGTTTGATCTTTTTTATGAGAGAATACTAAGGGATCATATTGTAGTGTGTGTCAACACATCTATTGACACAAACAACTTTGAATAGAAATCCTACATAATATGAGCATTAGAGGCTCCAGAGGGTTGAATTATCTAAGATTTGACTTGTTATTCCCAAATAAAAATTCTCATGAAGATTTTGGGTAGCTAGTTGATACTTGGAACTTTTTCATGTGATTTAGAGTAGTTTAAGAACTACTTTGAGCTTCACTTTTATGCAAACATGATATAACAATAAATAACCTTTTTTATATAAGAATAAAGATTGAATGATTAATTTGAAGAGGGTTTGTAGGTTTTGAAGACTTAATGCATGCACAATATATCATCAAACACAAAAGCAAGTACAAGTCAACATAATTGTTTATTAAACTTCTCATACACAATTTCTTCCTTCCAAATATTTCACCCCTCTCATTTTATTCTCCACTTTCTTTGCTTTAGCTTTGTTACCATCTACCACTTCCATCTTGAATGCCAATAATTTTTTTTCTTGTGATCAAGCTTAAGAACAGCCATCATTTGGGCTCTTCTTCCAATGTGATGCTGGTGCACAACATTTGAGTCTAGCATTTATCTCCTTTGACCTGCAATATTAAGGTAACATAAATTATAAAGTAATATTTTTAATAAAAATAGGAAATATGAGTGTTTATAAGATCTTTGGAGCATGTCTTTTGTTAGCATTTGAGAAAATAATTAGGACGAAATAAATTCAAATATTATGTAGTTCAAGAAGCCTTTCACTTTGTAAGTATTGACTTGTGCTATGTTGTGTTGCTTAGTGCCATGCACCTCTACACATTAATTGCTCATGGCACACTATGTCACACAACGCCACACCATATAGGGGTGTCACATTACCCTAATGGATATGTTGTGTCTTTTAAGGATAGTCAGATATTAATCCATAAAGTCCATCCTCATAGAATTGAAACAAGCCTTTAAAGTATCAATTGACCTTTATTCAATATTGAAACAAAGGAAATAGAAATAATTCTTCAAATGAAGAGGCTTCATCTTCATTGTCAACATCATTATCATTATAATAATTGTCTCATATCTTTTTTAAAAATTTTAAATCTATTAATAGGATTCAAGCTTTATATTTTCTTATGTACACTATAACTTTTTCCAATTCTTTTATGACAATGCAAAGTTTTAGTTGCTTAGACCATCTCAATTGAGCTTAATCACATTTCAATGCAAATATCTAATACTTTGTGAGGACATCTCCACCTTGACTTTAATTTCTAGGAATTAAGTGTCATCTAAACTCCTGAAAAAATTACTATATACTTATATGTAAATGACTTATAAGGGATTATTTTATCACGAAATGCATTTATTTAGCAATGAATAATCCAAAATGTATGCAACAATAAGCAAAGCACCCAATGTTATTATCTTAGTATTTAGTAACAATTACTTTTTTATTATAGTTGGAGTAAATGTTAGATAAGTATTAGCACTCTTGGGTGGCAAGTACTTACAACATTTGATCAATGAAAGGAAAGTGACAATGGTTCTTCTTTACTTGTTGCATTTAGTGTTCTACAATCTATGTACATGTGTCACCCCCAAGTTGAATGCTCATACAGATCATCTCATCTTTAAAATTTTCTATTATAGTAATCTTTAATTTTTTTTAGTGGAATCTATTTTTTACTAATTAACTATCCTTAATTTTGACGGATTATTAAAATTTAAATGCATTAGCTCTCTCTCTCTCTCTCTCTCTCTCTCTCTCTCTCTCTCTCTATCTATCTACCTCCTAACCACTTCCTTCATGACTTAGTTTATTTTTTCTGGAAATTGTGAGTGAATTGGATGCCATTTGTTAAGTAAATCATATGATGTGCAATACTTGGACTTGCCCTTTTAACATGCACCAATGCCAACCAAATTTCTTACTCATTCTCTTAAAGAAGAGCGAGCAAATAATCTTCTTACATGCTGCTTAACTCTCTTGGAATAAGGATACCAAGTGTTTGATTATCATAAATTTTCATATTATAATTTTTTGGTGGATGCTTTGAGCTTGAGCTTAGATGGTTCTTAGAGGTGTTGATATCTTATACAAGCTACGTTGAGAACTAATTAAATTCAAATAAACACAAGACCTCATAGCCTATATAATCATTGACTAGTTGGAGTTTGTACCGAGGAATCTACTTATTCTGTCAAGGGTTGAAGCTTCAGAAATTAAAATCATGGGTTATAAACTGAGAGACTACAACATTTTCTTTGATGCGCAAAAGAAAGTTGGAAACAAAGAAGTAGGAGGGGCCAGCACAGAAAAAGAAAAACTCCCAGAATCTGCTGGAGCCTTCGTTTCCTTGGGAGGTATGCGCATATATGATGAAGATTACATCACCTCTTCTCAAGGTCCCATCATTCTGAGAAAGTGAGTTGCATCACGGAACGATTGAAAAACTTTTGAGAAGGGCAACAACAAGTACTGGTTTTCAGAATCTCGATGTGATAACTTCTCCCCAATGATGATGCTACCGAGGTGAACCATAAAACTGTTCTTCATTTGCCAGGACCTGGACGTAGTAAGATCATCACCACCGCCCATAGATGTTTTCATGTTCTCTGCTGTCAACTGAGAGGCCAGAGTGACTGCACATCTGCCCTGGCAGGTGTGGTGGCCTAACAGGGTAAGAGATCCCAGCATTCGTCCCACCAGGAATGACCCAATCCCTACAGAAAACAGCAGAGAAGAATCTTAGCAGGGTTGAAGCTACTGAACTAGAAAGATCGGAGGCTGGATGTGTAAAAGATCGTCAGAAGGATCAGCAGGTGCCAAGGAGATGATCGCATTGAATCAACACTGGGGTGCTCATTAGAGATGATCCTCCCAAGCAGCATTGACCTAATGAGGAAGAGATAATTGGTATAATTGACTGTACTAGATATGCTAAGTAATAACGCCCGGGTGACGCCTCACCATCGTCCATCTTCCAGAGAGCCAGAAACCAAACGAGCACAATGTAAAGAAGCATCATATAAAGCACCGTATCCATTCCACAGCACACACACACAAATAAATTTGAACATGGTTCCAAAAGCGCCTGTCAGGGATCAGATGGAATATGCCCTTGGGCCTCAGACCTTTCTCAACGAAAGCTATCGTCAGAGTCTCTAACCACATTTTCTTAAGGCATTCAATTCTTTCCAAAGAATCTTGGACAAAATATTGTTCCCAAAAAAAAAAAAAAAAATTGAAACGGCACAGCAGGTGAGCAGAAAAAAACATAAATCATCTTCGTAGGCACCCACAGGAATATCAAACAGGCCGTCTTCGCCTCACCATCAATGGTGAGAACAGAAAATAAAGACGCCAAGGAGTTGGGAGAGACAAACATTTGAATCATAAAGAGAAGATAGAAAAACACCACATGCGGGAATCGAATCAAAGAAGCCTACAAATCTAAAAAGCATTCTAGAAGGCATGCCTTCGTACTTACCCGGAACAGTAGTAAGCTTGCGATTGATCCAGTGGCAGACCGGAAGTATATACGTTTTGACTTCTACACGTTTCCTCCTTCTGAGCAGTACCACTGTGGAATCTGAGGTGAGGAAAATGGTTTTCCCCGTCACCTGGAAAAGGGTGCAACGGGGAAGACCACGGATCATTTGCGGTGAATGGACTCACCATTCCATCATCCCCGGGGTTTCTGATGCAGACATTGTCAGAATGTTTAAATGTGCTCCTCAGGATATTCTTCTCCATCACACCAAGAGTCGCAATGGGGTTCTCAGCTGGTGGACGAGTGATTATGTCCGGAGTAACTCTATTCTGCTCCAGGGCTGAAAGCCAGCTTGCAGGGCCCCCGACCAAATCCAGTCCATCTTTGCACAGAGAAGAACTCCACATCTGCCATGTTCCCTGCTCACTAACATTATTGTATTCATTGTCAGGCAAAGCACTTTGATCCTGCGATCTTGGGCTGCAAGAACCAGAACCAATGTGCCTTTCTCTGGACATCCACAATCTTGACATAGGTGACTCAATTGGAGAAGGCTTCTTCACATCAGACGAGTCACATACTCTTCTCAGAATATGAGATGGATCTGATAGAAGATCGTCTTTAAAATCAAGTCCTGGGTCCGATAAAAAATCGTCCAGTGACTCTGAAACAGGCCCAATCAGGGAGGTAGGGTCGGGAACAAAGCACGGATCTTGAAACAGTTCTGCTTCCTCTGTACCAAAGTTATGTCCCAACTCTCCAGCAAGAGGAACTCTGGATTTGTAAATTGTGAGAGAAGATGAATCACTGGCCAAAGCACCATTCGCTGATGGATCGTTGGTGCAGGCCAATGACTGTTCACACTGCATCTGATTAAGTGAAGGATGACTTGGCAGTTTATGATCCGCCGAATCTGAAATTTTAGCTTCTGGTATACCATCAAGTTTCTTTGCAAAATTTTCGTCAGATGATGATGAAAGTGCCAAAGGGCGGGTAAATAACTGATGCCATGACTTTTTTGGAATGCTCGCTTGATTTAGATCCGGAGCAACCTGGTAAATGTTTTTCCCATGAATAACACAGCAAAAAATAAATGCATTTATTTTTCAGATAATGTGAGAGGTTTATTTACCATACGAGACATAAATGAATTCAAAGCATAGATAGGAAAATTCGAAAGAAAGAGGGCTTACAGGCCGAGCGCCAGTGCTTCTGGAGGTTTTAGCATCTCCATCTAGTGAAGGCTTTCCAATAACATGCCCCACAGAACAGCTCTCCTTCCATTGCACCTTGTCCGCAGAGCCAACAACAGGCTTATTCGATTTGCTAGCAAGGACAGAAGCAGCGTGGGAATTCTTCCCAAATAGTGTCCATCCATTAGTACCTCTAGATGAAAATAAAGAAGTTCCTTTCATACGATCAAACGACTTGGATTTATTCGCCACACCCATTACACTACTTACAACTTCTGCATTCACTCTCTGGATTCTACACAATTCCTGCCTTTCATTGTCATTCTTTCTCGCGAACTCACGTTTCTTTTCGGTTTCCTTTTTCCCCCTGCTATCGTTATCTTCCCCATCAGAGTTACTTTTACTAGAGTTCTTGTCTTTCTCCTTCTTTCTATCTCGTCTCCTCTTATCGGATTCTTCTTTTCTCCCATCCCTTGACCCATCTAACGCCAAGGGCTTCAAACTCTCTTTCTCAGCTTCCACTTTTATATCCCTAAGCTTCCTCCTTTCGTCTATTAATCTAGCAACTTCTTCCCTTTGTTTTCTCTCTTCTTCTTCTAACATTTCCTTTTCCAATCTAGCCAGCCTTCTTTCTTCGGCTTTCCTCCTTGCTTTCTCTCCCTTGCTCTCTTGGCAAACATGTTCACCTTCTTTTGATGATCCTTCGTGCTCTGTGTCCAAAGACCCATCTTCAACGGGAGAACCAAATTTGAGAAACCTTCGATAGAACTGCCTCGTCAGATAAAAAACTGAAGAAAGAAGTTTCCAGATGAAGATGGCAGCCCGCGAACACGTCTCCTCTTCGGAACTTTGTTCATGTCCACCATTCACCCAATGGCGTGGGGCTGGGTTCACATGCCCATCCCAATTCCCACGACCCAGTGCAGGACAATCAAGATTGAAAAACCAGCCACTCTTTCTGATAAGGTTACTGAGGATCCCTGAACTACCAGGAGGCCCCGGAATGTCTAGGATAGGTCTCTTGGATACGTGCCCGCAATACGAACACATGAACTTACCGCCTCCGGGCTTCTGGTCCCGGTAAGGTGTGAGGCAGTTGCGGCACCGCCGTGTGGCCGTCTTCCGGAGCTTCTGCAGCTCAATGGCGAAGCTCAGCTGCTGCTCCCGGATCCGTGCGCACCTCCGTGCTCGATAGACAGACAAGTGAGGCAAGAGAATCTCATACCAGAAGATGGTACCGAGGAGAACCACCACGCAAGCCAAGCGTGGGGACGTGATCTCGAAACGGAGATCAGGTGAGAAAAGCTGGGAGAGCGCCCATAACACGATGAAGGGAATCACCAGCCACGGTAACATGCCAATAGCCCGACGGGACCACTTCTGCACTACGCAGAGTATACACATTATCAGATGGCGCCTCAACTTCAGATGAAATCCCCGTCTTCCGACTCACAGATGCCGGCGAGAACGCTTCCGACCAGAGCGACGCCTGCAACCAAATCCTCATCCAACACGGATAATTCTCGGAGCTACGCCAAGCTTCATCCCAAACTGCCACAAACTGACATCAAAACTCAAATCCAAGGACCCCGAGCCTGGAATCAACCCGAACCCTAATCAGCGGAGAAGATACCCTGCGGAGCGATCAGCAGGACAGGTCTCGACGCGCAACGAAACAACGCGAACTGGGAAATCCGCACAGGATGATTGGCGAAGGCGAGCACAGGAAGCGGCAATATACGGCACGGATTCATCGCCCCGGAGAAGACGCAGCGGCGTCGGCCATGGTCGGCGCCCCGCTCACCCCCTTGGAAGAAAGATTGATGGAGAACCACAGAGAGGAGAAAGGCCCCCCCCTCTTTCCTTCGTCCTGTTTCCTCTAAAAATTAAGTTTTCAATAAACCCATGAAATCCGTTGCAAATTACATACGAGTAGCTTAAGATTCATATATACTTTCATACACTTACTCCCTTTTAACTTATTTTATAAATATAAAACCTCATACTTATTATATTTCAAAAAGTACCCCTATTACACGTGTAGGCTGCCTTTCTTCTCATCGGCCCCTCGCCGCCAGTTAATCCTCCCCATCATCACTTCAAACCCCACGGTTGACTTTACTAATCCTTGGTCAAGCAGGCCCAATCTGATGATAATGCATACACATGGTTGGTCAAAATTAGTAAATATCGAGGTAAATAATTTATTTTAAATATTCAATTTGATCAAATTTCCGGTAAATAATTTTTTACTTTAAACTTTGAGGATCATAAATCCAAGTAACTGGTAGATGTGCACAAAGCCCATTATTTAATTATTGGGTTTGGAGAAAATCCTCATAATTTGTATTTTTGTACACAAAAAATGAGGCCCAACTCTACAAAGTATAATATTTGTCTATTTTACTTGCTTTAAAAAAAATAAAAAATATGAGGGAGTATTACCGTTCATGGGCTACTTACTACTTCCCAACCCAACCTCGTTTTATAAAGCATATTATTATTATTATTATTATTATTTAAAATTAGTCCCCAAACGAAATACATATTTATATTGACAGATAAATTTAACATCTAAATTTAAAGCTAATTTAAAAAAAAGTATTTTATGAAGCCGAGGAAGACGCTTGCGATGATGGCGTCGGCCAACGTCCTCCACAGCATGAATTTGGCCACAAAAAAGTCTACGTTCTCGCTCAGCGGCAAGAAACGGCGATGGGTAATTAAAAGTCCTTTGACTTTTTGATCTCAAGTCATATCTGGGCTTCGTAGTCGGGCCATTAACTCCCCCAGAAGCCTTCCTGTTCACGGCTGGTCGTCGAGACCGCGGTGTGTGGCTGGGGTGGCCTGTTGGGTTTGCCAAGGGGCGGTGGCGCCTGGCTAAACGACGGAAGGGCGGCGACTGGGCGGTGGACTCTCCCGGAGGCGGAGAGGTTGCCGGATTTTTTGGGTCCACAAGAGAGAGAGCCCACCGCCGCACGGGGTCGAGGAAGTGGAATCTAAGGAAAGGGAATACTTTTTGATGGGGTTTCTTTGTACATGTGAAGCTGGTAGGGTGGAAGAATAATGAGAGAATATCACAGAATAATGGGTTCGCCCCGGCAGGTTAAACGCCGGCGATTGAAAGACAGTATGAGATTTTTCCGTTCGCGAGGTCCTCGTCCAACCAGCCGTTGCATTGTCATCTCACAGATGTTCTGCATCCACGAATGATTGATTGATGGCGAGTTGTTTGTTGATCTAACTACCGGGGAACGAATGGTGGGCCGGCGGCGACCGTTCGCCGGCAAGGCGGAGGACGAGCTTCAGAGGGATCTTGGGGAGGCGGCGGCGGCGGCCACGGCAGGCTCTTCAACACCGGCATCAGCTTCTGCTCCCAGAAGCCCTCCAACGTCGGCGGGATCTCCGGGCCCTCTTCCAGCTCCACCACGGAAAGCTCGTCGTTGAGGCGGCTGACGCCGGCGGCGGCGATTAGAGTTCCGTTAGGAGCTTCGATCGTCAGCATGGACAAAACTTTCTTCCCCTCCTTCCTCACCACGAGCTCCTCTCCTCTCGCCGCCTGTTCCAGCATGCCCAGCGCCGCCTGCGCCGTCGCGCCACCCGACACCACCGCTCGTTCGCGGCGGCGGGGGAGGGGCTCGAACAGCCCGGAAAGGTCGAACCCTGACGAGAAGGAGATGATGTCGAAGGCATTGAGGTCCCTTTCCTCCTCCTCCTCCTCCGCCGCCGGCTTGATGGCGCGAGGCCTGCGGCCGGAGCCCGTCAGTGCCGCCCACCTCTCTCCGTCCAATCCCTTTCGGAACCATGGGTCGCGGATGATCTCCTCGACGGTGCTCCTAGTCTCCGGGTTGGTGTCCAGAAGCCGACCGATGAGGCGCTTCAGCTCGGGGGAGAACCAGCGAGGGCAGCGGAACTCCCCCCGGCAGATCTTCTTGTACATGGCCATCAGATTGGGGTCGTTGAAGGGGAGGTACCCAGCGTTGAGCACGAAGAGGACGATACCGCAGGACCAGACGTCGACCTTGGCGCCGTCGTAGCCCTTCTTGGCGAGGATCTCGGGCGCGACGTACGCCGGCGTGCCGCAGAGCGTGTGCAACAGCCCGTCGTGCCCGGTCTGGTCGGAGACGGCGCTGAGGCCGAAGTCCGTCACCTTAAGGTCGCCGTTCTCGTCGAGAAGGAGGTTCTCTGGCTTCAGGTCCCGGTGGAATACACCCCTAGAGTGGCAGTAACTCACGGCGGAGATGAGCTGCTGGAAGTAGCGGCGGCTGAGGTCCTCGGAGAAGCGGCCCCTGGAGAGGCGGGAGAAAAGCTCACCGCCCTTCACGAGCTCCATGACGAAGTAGATCTTCGATCTCGAGGCGAGGACCTCGGTGAGGCGGACGATATGGGGGTGGCGGAGCCGCCGCATGATGGAGATCTCCCGCTTGATGTTCGCCGCCAGCCCTCCCTTGATAATCCGCTGCTTGCTGATGCACTTCACGGCGGCGCTCTCGCCAGAGCGGACATCCTTCGCGAGGTAGACCTTGGCGAAGGCTCCCCTCCCCAGAAGCCGCCCTAGCTCGTACTTTCCGAATAGAACCTTCTCCTCCCGGATCCCTCCTCCCTCCGCCGGCCATTGCTCGCCGGCCTCCGCCATCCCACTGCTCGACTACGAACGCCGTCTCTCCCTCTCTCTCTATCTCTCTCTCCCTTCCTCCCTCTCTCTCTCTCTCTCTCGCTCGCTCGCTTCCCGGAGGGATCGGAGCTCGCCGGTTGCTCTGGAGGGGGAGGAAGACGCTCAGAAGTTGTGTCGGAAAGGGTGTCGGGAAGCAGTAATTTATATAAGCCGCCTTCCTGTTCCGGACTGTAAGAGAAAATCTTACCGGTCCGGATCCGGCCCGATTCATTTTGTCCTACCTATTGGTTTAGGATTAGATAAAATGGCAAGCAGAGACAACCTTTGAAGGGCAAGGATGCCGTGTGAGCAATGACACGTGTCAAAAAGTAAATTCCCTTTCACGATGGCATATTCGGAGGAGTACATCGTACGGTCACCGCCGCCCGAGGCTCCGTGCAGCAGCTGGTTGTGGAGACGGAGATCTTGTCTTGGGGCGACTGACGGCTAGCGCGTGCCATTTTGACCCCTCGCTTCCACCAGCCACCGGCCAGGCCCCTTGCCGGCGTGATCACCGGGAAAGTAGATCGAACCCAGCGGAACATGGCGGCGGGAAAACTCTGGAGCGGCGGAGGACACGCCGGTGAGGGAGGAGAAGGGATGGCCAGCGACGGGTCATCGCTCTCCCGGACACCCATTCAAAAAAAAAATACTCCAACGTGGGCGGCGGCGTCACTGTGATTAAACAAAGGAGAGCTCCGCCGGAATCGTCCTGCCTCGTCGTCAGCAATCTCCCCACCGCCGCCCATGGGGCTCTGGGCTCTCTCTCTCTCTCTCTCTCCACATGGGGCGCCGCGAAGTGGGAAATAACTCCGGCGAGGTCTGCTGGCAGTGAGGGGAAGCGGTGAGAGAGGTTTTCTCGTTAATCTCCGCTGCTAACTCCGACGGCGAGGAGACGCATGAGGAGACGTGCTCCTACGGCCACCGTTGGAGCTGGGTCCCTGTCACTTCTGTTTATTTATATTTTATGACATACATTATAAAATATATTCGTCTTAATCAGATTAATCAGTTCTCGTCCGGAAGCCCAACTCTCACGCTTAAGGTGATGAATTCTGCTGGCTGTTCCCACCTGCTGACGCCATAAATATAATCAGATTCTTGGCGCAAGGTCAATCATATGGCGGTCTCTCCCTCTCTCTCTTCTTGTGTCTCTCTCCGATTGGGTAAAAAAGTCAACCGAAGAATCTGCACTGTTGGCAGATCCGATCCATGGGCTTGGGCCGGGTCGGGCCCATCCAGTGGTCAAGTCTGGCTCAAGTCTGGCCTACATTATTCCGTATATTTAACTAGTGTGGCAAAAAACAGCGGATTAATTTGCGATAAACAGTGGTAATTAGTGGATTTCCTTCTATATATAGAAACTAATTATTTCCGAATGAGTGGCTGCCGGTCTCACGGGTCGGCATCTTCACGGTACTGAGATCTTGGTAACCAAACATAGTGATATTATTTTTAATTTTTTTAATTTTTTTTATGATGGATGACGTCTCTGAAGTCGACGGGGGGGGGGGGGGGCCCACGCCTCGAGCGGGACGCTAGCCGGACGAAATTATTAAATAAAGACAAAAAACGGTCCCCGCAATGGCGACACATAGGTATGAAAATTAGTGGGCGGCGGTGGCGGTGGATTCTACGCCGTGGCCTGGGCGAGACCAGGAGCATCACAAAAAATAAAATAAAAATACTAATATTTGGAAAATGGGTCGGGAGGGTTTTGGGTTTTTGATCTGGACGGTGGATCGATTGACTCATCGATCAGCTGGCCGGCTCTGATTGAGGCCGGCCCAAAGGTGGGGCCCACCCTAGTATGAAAATGTGCTACATTAATTCGGAGGCAGATCAGACACCGCCGACTGATAATTCCACAAGCTTAGGAGATTGAGGATGATCTCACCTACAAGTTTAGATAGAGAAACAGGAAGAGAAGAAGAAGAAGGCCGGCCGTCCCCATCAAGACGGTTGCTGCAGCTTCTTCTTCCTCTTCTTCTTCGCCTTCATCTTTTTCTTGTTCTGGTTCGCCAACAGGTGGGAGAGGCCGGCGAAGCCGAACTTCTTCCTCTTTGAGGGGATCATCCGCCTGCGGGCAGTGGCTTTGTCTTCCGACAGCGGCGGAGATGGTGATCCCTGGCGGCGGCTCAGCATCTGGCCCAGCGAGACCTTCGGCTGAGCTTGCAGGGCCACCTGTGTTGCCGCCTCAAGGTCGCCGGAGCCGTAGAGCTTCCGGCTGAGAATTTGCCCGATGGAGAGTGTTGGCCTCAGCACGGGCTTCGACCCATCGGCAACAAGGCTGCAGCCATTGACGTCGAGCATCTTTGAGTCCCTCCTCTGGTGGTGGTGGTGGTGGACTGGGCCAGGATTCTTGAACCGGGTCGTGCTGTGGGACGGGCGCCGGCGCTGACTGTGGTGCTCCGACCGCCACCGCCGGAGGGCCTCCTCGACGGCGAGCTTCCCTTGGTTTGCGGATTCGACCCTGCTGAGGGCCTCCATGAGAGCTTTCCTGCTAGTCTTGAGTTCTAATGTGGCTTCCTCCACCTTCTGCAGAAGCTCCTGCTTGGATCTGTTCGCCTCTTCCACCTCAGCCATGGCCGATTTGATGCGCTCTGTTGAGAGCTCATCAGCTTGCTGAGCCTTCTTACCCAGGCTTTCATACTCCTCTGTGGTCAAAGTTATCATGCTGGATTTCTTCTCTAGGACTTCGGGTGGGTTATCACTGTCGGTCAACGCCTTGATCTCTGCTAGTGTACTTGCTTCAGCAGCTTTGGCGGCTTCTTCCATTTTCTTGGCGGCTAGGAACCTGATCTCAGCGGTTTTTATGCTTGCCTTCGTGCGCTCAATCTCAGCTCTCATCTTCAGAACCTCGGATTCCCCAGCTTCCGCCATTCTTCTGTACTGCTCCACTTCGGAGTTCAGTTTATGGAGCTCCTGTGAGATATCTGGGGGATACATGCAGCCGCCATTTCCATCATTTTTCGTAAATTGGATCATCAGTCTTGTCTGATGTAACTCCTTCTCAAGGTCTGAAATCTTAGACGAGTTTGAAGAAATCCTTTCACGGGTTTCATCAAGCATAGTTCTCTCATTCTCTATTTGGCTGTAGAGTGATTCAACAGAGGCTCTGATGTCGACCAGATCACTTGTGGCCCGTGTCAGGTTGACCTTCGCCTGCTTCAGTTCCATGAGGATCAAACCAGGTGACGGCTTTGAGCGTCTGGATTCTTTTATCTGATTCAAACAGTTCTCAGTTCTTGACGCAGCCTTCAGCTCTGTTTCCACAATAGGGTGTATCCTCGTGGAATCCGGATTCTTCTCAGAGATCTTACTGATTTCAGATGCTTCTTCTTTTATCTTTGTTTTCAGTCCATCCACTATCATTTTGGTCGCCTCTAGCTCTTTCAGCACGTCCAAAGTTTCCCTTTCTTTGACGATGAGGTCCTTTTCTAGATTCGCAGTTTGCTCCTTGATCACCAGAAAGTCAGCGTCTGCTATGGAATGATGGCCCTGAGGTAGAGATATTCTTTAGGTTATAATTAGATATATGATCTAGTGAATCATGAGGCTAAGGATACTAATCACAAAATAAAGGGAATTCAGGAGCAGACATTAAATCATAGAGAATACTGCAAACAGATAAAAAAAAATCAGAATGCAATCACAAAATAAAGGGAATTCAGGAGCAGACATTAAATCATAGAGAATACTGCAAACAGATAAAAAAAAATCAGAATGCAATCACAATATTTTCTTCTCTGAAGAGGAAACAAAGAAAAAAAAGTCATAGTTCACTCTATTGTTGCTATTACACCCCTCAGTCCAGCACAGAGCCATATTCTCCAAAAGCCAAGAAAAAAGCTTAAGACATGTTCAGCCCATTTGCATGGTGAATTTCCTCTCATGCAAGTTGCATCAGTCTCTTTGGGAGATGACGACAATTAGTGAAGGTCAAATATGACTTTTTGAATCAATTAAACCCATATCTAACGGGAAATATTTTCAAATATTGTTTTCTATTAACTTTTTTCAGCTGAAGTCAGACTTATTAAGCCCGGGATTGGACTATTCAAGATTATTTGGCCAGAAATTGGCAACTCCAAAAAAATCAGGTAAATCTAATGCGGATGACCCGTTACAATGATTAACCTCTTATTCACATGCTAACACTTAACCCGAATAACAAATCCTCGCTGAAGTTCTCAGACAAAACCAATATAAAGGCCACAATGCAGAAGGTTTTCTCAATATTCCTTCGAGACCTGTGTACAGACCATTTGGGACATTACACTTACCACTAGTTAGAACACACTGCCCATAACATTAACAGTGCGAAATCGGAAGCACTAGAATACCGATACTTGGGAGTAATTTTTCAAAAGAAAATGTGAGCTTACAGTCATAATGCTATCACAATGTTTCAGAGAAACTTGGATGGCCGCAAACATGAGGAGATCGAAATGAAGTACCACAATAAATGAGAGAGGGGATACTTCAGTCCTGACCGGTGTGTAACTACATATTTTTCAGCGAGTAATCATAACTTTCTCTAGCTAGTAACTAGGTAGTTTTTACAAGGTTATTTTTAAGTAATCACTCCTCAAGACCGAGATTCAAGCTGGTGTCCGACCGGGTCCGGAGATCTTGTAAAAAGCTATATACTCGCAATATGCTCTGTCAAACAAGCATCACATACTAACAATCCCTGAAATATAGACAAGACCTCAGAAACCGCAAGCATACCGGGAAATAGCAAAAATCCTGTCTCCTTCGCCAGGAAAGCTAATCACTCGGAAGTGAGCGAAGAAAGAGACAAAACACGAATGTACTTACGGAGAAGGAGAGGTATAGACAGAAAACAGGCCTCTAGTGACCACATTTCCTTACAAATGGAAGGTAGAGTGAGAGTCAGAGGTACGACAACATACCCCGACGACGGACGGAAGCTGCTGCCGGAGCTGGAGCGGCGGTCTCCACGGAGCACTGCCGCCGAAACGTGTGACGGCCTCCTTCACGGACTCAAACGGTGCGGACGTGTCGATCTCCACCCTCCCCATCCACCATCGACCGCTTTCCCGAGCTAGGGCTCCGGAAGCGTCCGATGAGGTCCGGCAACTGCCGGCATCAGCCATGGCCGCCAAGGCTTGCTCTTCTCGCCACTCCCTCGTCGCCGAAATAGTCGTCCTCTTCGGGATCGGAGAGAAGGATCTCGCCGGCGGCGTGGTAAGCAGCAGCCGCTCCTCACACTGGAAACACAGACAGAAGAGAGAGAGAGAGGGAGAGACCTGTTTTAGAGGCATCTCAGTTCGTTTTAATGGCGAGAGAGTCGTATTCATATAAACACCTCGGGATATTCAATATATTACATAAAAGGCCCTTCTTGCCCGTTGCTCCTATCTGTCGTCGCTTCTTTTTTTACGGAGTTTTACCTGTGGATCCTCATATAGTTTACTTTTTTGTGTTTCACCCATCCCGAGATAGACGTGCCTTCCATCATTTCTTGTCACGGGGGGATCCTGACGTGGTTACGCGGCAGGTTGGGAGGGGGGGGGGGGGCTCACGAACGGTCGGAATTCGTTTTGTGTCCGTTTAGGGCTGAAATAAAAGTTATGACTTTTTTAAGGTCTATCTATAAAAGTAGCCCATTAAGAGGCCCAATTACACCCGATGAGGTCCGGCCCAATCGTGACATCATCATCCTCTCTCTCTCTCTCATCTGACTCTTGCTCCCTACTATTAGTGTACAATAAAACTGGGTAGACCACACCAAGAGTGCGACTCATTCTCTCTCTCTCTCTCTCTCTCTCTCTCTCTCTCTCTCATCTCACTCTTGTTCCTGATTATTAGTGTACAATAAAATAATACTTGGTAGACCACGCAAAGAAGTGCGACGCATTCTCTCTCTCTCTCTCATTCTCTCTTACTCACAGTGGTGTCTAACTGAAACTTCTCTTCTGGCCCATGCGGACTCAGGTCTAACTGAAGTTGGGAGAGAGCCAGAGAGAGACAGAGACAGAGGTAGGAGAGATCCACAGAGAGAGAGAGAGAGAGAGAGAGAGAGAGAGAGAGAGAGGAGGGAAGCGAGAGAGACAGAGAGAGAAGCACGTATGCGCACAGAGAGGAGCGGAGTGAGAGAGAGATAGAGGGAGAGAGAGGAAGCTCTGTGGTTGATAATAAACAAGAAGAAGGATGAGACTCGCCTGAAAGCCCTTCCCTTTAAGAAGTTTACAAAGATCCTCCCCTTAATCCTACCCGAACCTGACCCAGAAGTAACATCAGCGTTTGCCGTGTTACGGCAGCGACGGACAAACCTCCCAAGGGCCCGCTCCTCCTCGGCCTTCCAAAGTCCACACGGGACTAACAACTCCTCTCTCTCTCTCTCTCTCTTTCTCTACATCTACTTTCTGCAAGAGAACAAAGACCAGGTGAAGAAATGCCAAGATCACTTTGTTGGCGTGCGATCAGCGAGTCCGCACCCGTCGTCATCGAGAGCGCTGTATACGTCGAACTGGTCCACATAATCTGCCTTATATAGGCGCCCTTCCTCGTCATGAAACAGTCTGGCTCCTCCTCTCCTCCTCTTCCTCGTCTTCATCTCTGTCAGGATGAACCCCGTCGGGTCCAAAGGGGGGAAGGAGTCCCTGAAAATAAGCCCCGACAACAACTTTTACCGGCGGCTGGTGTCCAAGGAGCCCTCCGCCGCCGTGTCTTCCTTCCGGAGCTACGACGACGCCGGCGCCGGCGCCGCGGTCCCGTTCGCGTGGGAATCTTGCCCGGGCACTCCCAAGCACCCAGTCGGCGCCGTAGGCGGCGGCGGCACGATCCTTCTGCCGCTCAATCCTCCGCCGCCGTACCAGCGCAAACCCGGGAGGGCGGTAGCGAGGAAGCAGCCCTCTTGGCCTTACCTCTTCGGCGACGTCCTGCCGAGGCTCTTCTCCCGGAGGAAAAGACGCTCCCCGCCCTCATCGTAGTAGCAGGAGGTCATCCACTGTTTCCGATCTCTGTACCGGTGGCGGATGGCCAACGTTCGCGCAGATGCAATAAAGCCATGTCTTCCACCGTTTGTCTCCATCTCCGTCCTGTCTTCCTCCTCCCACCTTCCCCCACCCACGGTGATTATCATCATAGATGGACCTGGTGGGTAGGTCTGATTGGAGAAACTAGGTCTGATTGGAGAAACTAGATCTGATTCTTGAAGAAGACCGCGTCCTCGTGGCAATGCGAATGGTGGATCGATTTGGTGCGTTCCTTTCCCATGCATTGAATATGGCGGGGTCTTCCATGTGAAAACCCAAGTCGACGAACTCAGGTCGTCGGGAATGGCAACGGGTGGGCCTGCGTTCCGTATTTCCTTTCCCAACTGTCTTGGAAAACTGTGCAGACTAATGAAGATATTTCCTTCAATGCTACGAACAGTATACTGATTGAATACGCGATTTTTATAGTTAAATAGAGGGATTTATTCAGAAATATTAGAAAAAATGCGATGATTAGCATGGGCTAACACATCCATGCCCTCTCTTCAGTATATACACGTAAATAATAAAAAATATAATTATCCTCAAGCACTTGAATTCTTGTGCTCTATTGTTCAAACCCAGATCGAATTATTGGTTATATTAATTATAGCCTGTCCCCATTCAATATAGTTCAAGCATATTAATTATCTTTCAGCATGATACGTAAAAGCAAGCACATCCATTGGCCAGGGCCAGAAATGTAGAGCGGACCATTGGCTGAGGGAGAGGAAGGACTTGATGCCTCTTCAGCTCACGCATATATGGTAGAGATTTTGTGAGTGCTTAGTAGAAGGTATGTATGCTGTCGCTTTGTAGGGGCTTTAACTCTGCATGGGATTCCCCCGCGAGGATGGGGATTGGGTCGGGGATCATCGTGAACAGATGGAAGTTCACGGCTCGATCGGTAGGCCGTCAGAATTGGTTCGGCTGGGGGGCTCTGGGCATTGTTTGTGGGTCTTGAGTGAGATCGTATCCTCGTAGTCGGCGTCTCAATAGGAAGATGTGGGTGTCGGATTGGGCTGAACTACGTCGACCAAGTGGACTCTCTCTCTCTCTGTCACAAAGACACCACCCGACATGCTCATTCTTATCTCCCGCTATCTCTCTCTCCTCTCTCTCACACAAATTTCTCTCTCTTCCCCACGCGTAAGGTCAGTCCATTATTACCCATTTGAGTGGTCCATCTGTGAGAGTGAGTTATATCCTGGTCTTACCTCCTCGGACGGGGTTAGATCACTCCACAAGTAGACCATTCAAAACCTACTCCGTGTTGCTTATGTTGGGGATCAACGTTCTTGTCCCCTTTGTTGCAAAGGAAGGTGACATATACATATGAGAGATGGATGGATAGATATATATATATATATATAGATATATAGACATAGACATATAGAGATAGATAGATAAATAGACAGATACATATATATATATATATACATGCATACGTGCATACATGCATACATGCATACATGCATACATGCATACATGCATACATGCATACATACATGCATACATGCATACATACATTCATACATACATACTAAGAGATATATAAATAGATAAACAGACAGATAGATAGATAGACAGACAGACAAATACATACATACATACATACATACATACATACACACATACATACATATACTAGACATATATATATAAATAGATGATAGACATACAAACAGAGATAGAAATATATAGATTGATAGATGGGGATCAAAGAAGTGGATCACCACCTCTACATAGTGAGCACATCGGCCTAGGCCCATTAAGACATATCTTCCCTTCTTAAGTATCTATTTATTTATTTACTTAGCATAAGAGAATGTTTATAAATGCTCTTGAGACCCTAGATACATATGTAGAGAATATGATGAAGTTCATTTGAGGTTTACCTTACATTGCTTCTCAAGGAGAAAACGTGAAGGTTAGTTATACATTACCACACCTACTGCCATCATCTATCACTACCACTATTTGGTGCCACCTTTATCCACCACATTCATTGGTCACTGCATGTCATTCAGCCACCATCCTTTCACCATTGTCAGCCTTCCACCCATCATCATCCATTGTTGGCCAATCATCGGTCACTGCCATTGTCTGTCACCTGTGCCACCTCTTATTGTCGCTGTCCATCACTACTAATATCCATTGCTACCTTTGTACACTATTCTCCAGCCACCATTTGCTGTCACTAATTGCCGTCCATCTAACATCCACTGTCATCTACCATCATCTGCTACTATTGACTATCACCACCACTATCTCTTCCTCCTTCCCTTTTGTTACATTCTAGATGAGTTTTTGTTCTCATTTTATTGATTAGGATTAAATCATCAATGGTTTGTGGACTTAGATATGTGTGGCTTAGATGGCCCATTTCCACCTGGCCCAAAGCAGCTCGGCCACTTGGTCCTAGTGATAATGTCTAGTCAACTATGTCAGCTTGGTCAATGATCAACATTAGGTCAAATATTCACAAGTCGGGTCTAGCTTCAATGTGTGCTCCTTTATTGATCAGTCATCCATTATGATGACAAAGTTATTTCTAAACTTGTTTGTTTTCAGATTTGAGTATTTTTGTTCATTGAGTATATTATCTTGTAATATTGTCATTGTGTGATTTATAGATAAGTCCATTTATTTTTATAATTAGTGGTGAGTGTAGAGTGAGAACTATTGGATTTATAACTAATCAACATATTGATAGTGAGTGGCCTAATCCTTTGTGATTTCTTAATTGTATCAATCTGATTCATTTTAAACATTGTAGGAAAGCATTTGATCTTATCATAGTTGATCCTCTTAATTTTTTAAATCTATTATGTGAGTCCTTCTATGATACTTGTCTAGGGTTAGTTTAATCATTTTTCATTCAGCCACACATCAAATTTGTTATCACAGCTTAGAGTTTTGATTGAAGAATTGACTACATTAAAAAACTAAAAATTAAAAGTAATAAAAATTGATAGTCATCATCATTATTTCTTTTTTGTTCTTTTGTATGCCCACTTGATCAAGTCATGAGTATTTGTTAGTGAGGAATTAGCCAATTCTTCTAATGGGAGAAAATACACTTGATTGGGCAAAATAATTATTAAAAATAATTGATCAATTAATATACTCCTCGAATCAAAGGGTAAATTAAAAGCTTGAGCATAACCAATATCAAATCCCTATCCCAATCACCCATAGAGCCCAAAGAGTACAAAGTTAGGTCCCTTTAGAATGAGTTAAGAATAATAGGGTATCACTCGAGTCATATGACTTATGAGAATTGTCATTTATGAGTGATAGGGTGGGTTGAAACCCCTTATTTTAATGACTCCACAAATCTTAGAGTATATATTAATTGGGAGGCTGATATTTATTATCATTTTAAGTAGTACAAAATGTCTCAAGCATGAAAGATTATATTTGTCCAAATGAAACTTAAGAGATAAGTTAAAATTTATTAGAATAATATTGAAACCTTCTTAAGGGGAAGGATGAGCCAATCAAAACCTAAAAAGAAACTAAGGACGAGCTTAGATAAAAATACCTTTATACTGCTTATAAGTCTAGACTTGAAAATTATTGGCAAAACTTAACCTAAGGAAATCAACTTGTATCATAATATATTTCTAAATTTGATGAACATTTTTTACGATGTATGGAAAAAAATGGATCTTGAGGTAACCAAATCAAGGTTTAGAATTGGGCTAAGAGATCATATTCAAAAAGAACTTTATTTGTGTGAAGTGATTGCATTAGAGAATGCTTACCAATTAGTTCAAGATATAGATACTAATTTTCAAAATTCTCAACTTGTAAGCCAAGTATCCTTATTTTCACCCACAACCTAGTCACAATTGAAATAGAAATTACACATAATGCTATTAATAGATTTGCCTAAGTTAGTGTTAAAAAAGAAAATATATAATGTTTTACAACTTGTGCACCTATTGTGACTTATTCTTAAAATCTCAATACTAAATTAATTGAGTGTGAAAATAAAGAGATAAATATAGTGACTAAAGAATCTTTTCAAGATAGTGACTCTAGGTACCAAGAATATGAACATTATGGCTACCAATGTCCCACTCTTACTTTTCATATGAGTGAATTTGAAGTAGAATTGATATTAGGCTAAGTCACAGCCCACTAGAGGAAGAGGAGTACAATATCACATACAACCTTGGTTAAAAATTAATGAAGGTTAAGGTTTTGTAAGTTACATTATAAATGAACACTTGGATGATATAAGTTTAGGAGATAACAGAGGCATTTTAACTCAACCTAGAGAAGAGGATGATATGCATAACATTTTTCATGCATTTGCTAAAATTGATGATGGTAATTATGAAATCATTATAGATAATGAGATTTATCTTAATACAATCTTTATTAGCATATTTAGACTATCCTAATTTGTCTTATTAACCCATTTAAAATATTTTATGTATGACCATCCCCTATTTTTGGTTAGAAAAATTGTAATGTGTCATTTTAAATCAATTCTATCAATGATGAGACACAATATGAAAAGCCAAACACATTTATTTATTTCTAAGGGAAAAAAGATTGTTTGGCTTCTATACAATTAACCTCGACCACATGATCTTTAAGAACCAACTATTACTCTTTTTAATGCACAAATATTTTAATTAAATTGAATTAATAATTTTTAATTTATATACTATACATCATTGTTAACCTAGAAAATTAGTTGATTTGATTCTTGGTCAATATAAGTTAGAGTTAAAAAAAATAATTATATCTTTATACTAAGTAGTATTAATAAAAAAGTTACATGTGTCTAATTTCCTCTTGAATATGATTCAAAAGTTTTGAAAATGAAGCATTTGCTTAATTAAGTATGACATTTTGAAATTTTGAACAAATTAGAATCAATATACATACTATTAATTTTCCATGTGATAAGAGAATTGACTCCACTTTCAACATTTCTAATTTAATTATATATCAAGACCCTCCTATTATGCTTAGTGAGTCCTTTGCCTTTCTCATTCTTTGTAAGTGAGTCAAACACTTGAGTGTTCACTAGCCATGTTTTATATACAACATGACCACATAGATCATATACTTGGTGAATCATTTGACTCCATCAGAAATTGAAGATTTTGATGACATCTTGTATATTAGCAGTGATGTCTATATTTAGAGTTAGCCTCATTAAGCATCATTAGAGTAAACCTACATTATGCTTAATGAGTTAAGTTTTTCTCAACTCAAAAGAGTTGATAGGATTGAAGAAGTGGGCCAACACCTCTACATTATAGTCACATTATCTTAAGTCTATTAAATCATAATTTTTCTTCTTAACTATTTCTGTATTTAACATCAAATGATGATTATAAATATTATTGTAACCCTAACAAACGTAGAGAAAAGATGAAGTTCATTTGAAATTTATCTTTTATTACTCTGCAAGTAGAGGTTGTAAAAGTCATTTGATATCCAAGAATAGGTCATGAGGGTTAGTTATCATTCATCACTATTGTTTGTTATCTATCACTACTATCGTTTGCTGCTGTTTTCATCCACCACATTCATCTATTATGACATGTCATTCATCTATTGTCATTCTAACATTGTTTATCGTTTGTTAATTTTCATCCATTATTAGCCGATCATCTATTGTTGTCATTGTCCATCATTATTGTCATCTGTCACTACACTATTCATTATCACTATTATCCACTACCACCTTTATATATTGGTCTCCAATCATCATATGTTATCACTAATTATTCATCTGCTGTCCATCATTGTTTGCGCTATTTACCACCATTGTCTGCCACAATGCACTATAATTGTCACTATTAGACCTTATTAAATATTTGAATCTATTATGTGAGTCATTATAAGATACTTGTCTAAGGTTAGTTTAGTCATTTCTCATTTTATTCTATATTAGAGAGATGAGGTAACATACACTAGATAAATGTGATTAGGAGAATTTCCTACATCTTACAAGTTCTTTCATGAGTGAGAATTGTCTTACAACTCAACGATTATCCCTTAGCGTGTCAACATACAATTATTGTACACATATATGAAAAACCGCACCTCCATTCCCTTCCCACTCATCCTATTGTAAGGTTGACTTATTGTTGAAAGTAGGCTCTTTAAATTATAAGAGAAGAAGTGGTAGTCAAATGGTGGTAGATGAGTGACATTAATTACTTATTGATTATTTTTATTTTGGCAAAATCTCTCTACATCACATGGTGATTTAAACTTGATCATTTGAATGATTATCTTGAGACAATAATAATAATGATGAAGATGATGAACCTTAATGGGCACACTTGAGATTGCCATCATTGTAGAATGATGACGAATAATCCTAGATCTTTTCCCACGATTAGAACTTTTTGCTCATATGGATGGAATTCCCACAAGGGGCTAGAAGAATTATAACTCTTGTCATGTTAAAAACTTAAGCCAAAATAATCTTTATGTAACACACTTCATAATTATGTTATTATTTCTTAAATACCACTTAATATTCTATATTGTATTAATATCTAATGAGTTAATTAAAGTCAATCAATGAGTTTGAGTCCAATAATCTCTTGCTTGGCTTTATCAATCTCCTTTATATTGGATGGTTATACGAAGCAACCACTATTTGAAATGGTTAAAAATAATAACTTCTAGTTGATGATAAGGTCTCTCATAAATACTAGTAATAGAGGTGATACATCTTTAAAGATATATGTTCCTTCTATGTATTAGGATACAATTAATATTAAAATCAAACACCTTATGTGGTACCAAACTTTATGAATGAACTCATAATGTAATGACAATATCCTTTAGTTTCATTCCCTTTATTTTATCTAATGGTAAATGACAAAAGATAAATGATAATTAATAATGAATTAACACACAAAGGTCAAGTTGAAAGTGATATCACATAATGCATCAATATCTAAATAAAACTCAAGACACATACTGAAAAGAACTAATTAAACTCATATTACATATATATTTACCAAGTATTAGGTGGAAGTGACTTCATAAGATCAATCTCAATGTGCTCAATAGACACCAATTGATCTTTTGATTCTTTTCTTCACAATAAAAAATTTGACCTCCATGTGCTTATATGCACTTGAGTTCTTGTTATTATTAGAGAATTCAACTATAACTTTATTATGATAATAAAATCGTATGGATTTCTATATGGAGTCCATAAACTCTCAAATTTTTAATGAAGTTTATCTTCATTAGTGTTATATTCCTGGACAATGGTTGATTGAGTTATCTTCTTGGACAATGGTTGATTGAGTTATCTTCTTGGACAATGGTTGTGTCCAAAGACAAATGTGCATATTTTAAATAAGATTCCTACTAAGTTTTCACATGGACTCAAACTTTTGTAAAATGACACCTGCTTTAACTTTATTAGATTCAACAAATTATTATTCTATCATATTCAAGTAAGTTTTCACTAAAGTATTAGAAGTCATATGACCTTTAATATTTTTAGACACATGTTGCAACATGAATGATAGAAACAACTTGTTAAACCTTTCTCATTTTTCATAAAAGATATTTCATCTACATTGCTCTATTGAGTGAGTGTAGGAAGAGTTGTCATTCGAAAGCATAGATCTAATTCCATCATACTGAGATGAAATAATAGTACTTCTTTCTATTATAAATAATTTGCACCATTTAACATTAGCACTTTAGTAATACTTCTTTCTCTTGAAAGAAAGTATATCTCACTTGTGTCAACCTTTATATTCAACAAAAATATGATTATAATTCTATATAGGTAGATGAAATAATATATCATTGTTAAATAAACATGAAATTAATGATATTTACATAAAAGTTTATGAAATATTTTACTGTTGAGTACTTGAATACTCCATATTTAATATGCAAACCATTTCACCTATTTAGATATGACCAAACAATCTCACATATGTAAGTAATGTTAATCTCATTTATCTAAGTACAAACTCGAATGCATTCTTGATTATGTATAAATCTAATTTATGAAATTAAAAAAAAAAATCTTTCTTAATATCATGTAGGTCAGAATCCAAGTTGCCTAGATTAAATGTCTAATTATTTGACATTCTTATGTATTACAATTGTCTTATTAGCATAAAGCTACCAACCACATAGATGAGACAACAACAATTCATAATATTGAATGATAAGAGTGCAATCCACATTATCTTTTAACATATCTAAAGAAATATGACATAACATAAATACTAAACAATAGTCATGTGAAATAATGATACCCAATATTCAAAATTTTAGAATTAAAGTATACATTTATTATAAGAAAATAAATAAAATTTAATTTAACGTAAATTCTAAAAAATAGAAAAATGTATTAAAAAATTCTAAATCTATATTCCATATTAAAATATATTATTATTATTATTATTATTAGTATTTTGAGTGGGCGGTCCCACGCAGCGTGCCCATTTTGGATTGTCGCCCGCCCGAAACGTGGCCCTGAATGTCGGTCCCCGTCCCCTTTTCTCATTATTTTATTACGAACCCGCGGGCAGCGGCGTCCGGAAGCCGACGTGTCGTGGAGTGCGGAACCGCTAACGCGGTGCCCGAGGAAGTGCCACGATGCGCCCGGGAGGCGCCGCGACCGCGGCGTCCGGAAGCCAACGTGTCGTGGAGTGCGGAACCGCTAACGCGGTGCCCGAGGAAGTGCCACGATGCGCCCGGCAGGCGCCGCGACCGCGGCGTCCGGTCTCCCAGACCATTGGCCTCCCCAGGGTTCCGGAACCCCACCTATGCGGCAACCGAAAGGTGCCGGTCTGAGGGTCTGGAAACCCGCCCACGCGACACCCACTCCCGGTGCAGCCTCCGGGATATGCCACTTGACGTAGTCAATACGTATAACTGAGATCGTCATTAATGCGAAACGATGATAGAATAGCTCTAGATCTTTCTCCATGTTCTCATAAGAGGTTGGAAAAATCATATGTCATGTTATGTTGAAAAACCAAACTAGAATAATCTTTATATAGTACACACTATAATTTTCTTATTTATTTCTTAAATACTAATTAATATTCTATAATATATTTGTATCAAATAAATTAGTTAAGGTCAATTAATGGAGTTTGACTCCAACAAGGGATGCATCCTCGGCCCCTTGAGAGTTCCGTCGAACATCTAGGCACGTAAATTACACCTCTAGTTGTGCTTATTTGAGATGATGTTGTAGGCCACTTTTGAACAATCATCGAACTGAGCTGGTTGACTAGAGACGAAGATGAAAGATTCAAATCGGATCGAGTCAGAAGGTTAGGGTCACATTTTCCAATCTCCGGAGTCTCCATCAGGGCGAGTGTAGACGTTGAGAAGATCCAGCCTGAAGGCGTGGAGCCCATCCTCCCCTTCTTTGTGTGTGCGTTAGTGTCAATTCAGGTATATCCCATCGTCCTCTCTCTCCTCTCTCTCTCGATATTATATATATATATCTTCTTTACACCCACAGGCGAGCTTATCTGGCCTAGGCTTCGTAGCCAACTGGCGGGAGCGTAGGTTTCAGGCTTTTCTCCAGAACCAGGTCGAGGCCCGGCCTTGGCTCACCCGTTCCCGGCCCATGGACGTTCCGCACCTGCACAACCGTAAAGCCTCAGCTTCATTATTGAAACCTGTCTACGATTGGACTAATTATGTCCACAACCTACGATGGCCAAAAGATGACCGCGAGGTACAAACACCGAAATGAGAACGAACAAAACAAACACGAGACACTAGATAATGGAAATAATCAAGAACAGACTTCCGTTTCATGAAGATTAAGTGATATCGTTTTTGGATTGAGTTTGATCAAGCGGCCCTACTATTCTCCCTCCCTCAGTTCTTCCAGATTTCTACCTGTGCGTCACAGATCAGGGTGAGGTCCCCAGCCTTAATCATGGCGTCGGCAGAGTTCCAAACGAAGGCCTTATGGTTTCTTGCTTGCTTCTTGCCCAGTCCCATCGGCAGAGCAGCCATTGAGGACAGATGCCCTTCTCGTTAACCAGGTTCTTGAAGTACTTGTTACCGGAGATATTGCTGGTTCAGAGCCCAAAGCTCCCGGGGACGACGATCTTGCTGTATATGCACATGTGAGATCTTGAGAGATTTTGAGAAAACGAATATTCATAATAGAAAATATTTTTTTGTTATTAATTAATTTAATTAGAGTAATCGACCATCAAAATATTATATACTTTGTTTTAACGAGTTATAAGCTAACAAATAGGAAATCGTGCGGTCATCGAGTGATTTAAATGTGAGTTGGTGAGATGCTTGAGACCCATTTATTAAGCGCCGATAGGAACCCCTGTCGCCAAACGTTGGTACCTGGACACGTGGCGGGGGCTGTCGGTGAGTGGACAAGAGGAAGACGGCTTTACGCTGTGAAGTTCTCGTGGAGTGTTCTTCAAGCCGACGCCCAATTATTGGAAAAATCGAGCGATTATGTATTTACATGTGTTCGCCCAAAACCATGCACATGGGGGGCAAGATGACGACAGTAGGTCACATGCACGTAACAGAGAATAGACCCTTGTTTGATCAAGCCAAGGAATAGGGCGACTGAAGAAGATAAGACCCCTCACAAAGAACCTCTCTCTCTCTCTATCTATCTATCCTTTTCTCTCCCCCACCTCTCCTTCTCTCTCCTCGACCCCTCGGTCACACACATCCAACCTTACCTGCCCTTATCTCTCTCTCGCTCTTTCTCCTATGTGTCACATACGCACTCGCCCAGTCTATCCCTCTCAGATGGGTTCAACCAATCAGGTTAGGGAAAATATAAGACATGCCGCGACAATTTCACGAATGTTCGATGATAGTAACGACATAAATTTTACATACGCTCCCCCCGTCCGATCTTTTGAGTAAGGCAACCAAATCCATGTCCATCCAAGCAGACAGCTGTGACTAGCCCCCCCATGTAGACCACAGCAACCTACTCCGCGTTTCTTATTTAATAATGCCGCCGCTACCTCCACACCTTTCGTGACCACCGGCCTTGTCGACGCAGCAGAGTAGCCATTATGAAGGGTGGCATCGGTTATATTTCTTCTCCAAATTTTAGAAGGCATGAGATGTCTCCTCCATGTCATTGGGAGACCCTGGGTTGCCGTGGAATTTTACGGATTGACTCGTCCGATTCAAATCTCATCGTCAAGTGGGTGGCCAACTTTGATTTTTCGTCGTGATTGGCCATTTGATTTCTTTAGTGACCAATAAAATTCTATCCTTAACGTAGCCTCTCATGTGCAAGTATTCTTTCCAGTTTTGTCGCATGGATATTACAACTACGTGTATGGAATCTATGAATAATTTCAGCTCTGATACCATCTTAAATTCTAAAATAATCAACTAAAGTTCAATCTACAGCGCATAAAATAGTCTCATCTTCATAATCATATGCTTGGTAATGTTATCTAAAAAGTAAAACTATGCCTAGTATTGAGAGAATCCTAGCCATTGGCAAGAAAAGGTTTCCACAAGTAAGTCAAGACTACAGTAGTCGCGTTGTATAGTAATTTTTATAATAAAATTTGCCCCCCATCTGAGCGTGCTCCATCAGCACCTCCGCCAGCGAAATCCTCCGTTACTTTCTTACAACAATGAAGACACTAAGCGAATGTGCCCATGGAGAAATGATACTCTCCGTCTTAAAAACTTGAAACCGGCTCACATTTGGACGATCGAAAGTACCCCCCAAACTCCACTGCAAAGGAGTTATTATTACATCACCAGAAGGCCAAGGGTTAGAAGATCATTCCACCCCGCCGCCCCCTTCCCCCACTTACGAAGGCCGACAAGCGAACAGCGAACAGATTGCAGAAACAAGGGAAACATTATTGGATCTCCCTACTTTATTGGGTTCGATCTTGGGGTGCCCTTCAGTTCACTCTTCTACAGTTCTTCCTGATCTCTCCCTGAGAACCAGTGAGTAGCGCGATGTCCCCCATCTTTATCATGGCTTTGGCGAAGTCTGAGTCAAACGCCTTGGGGTTTCTGACGTACTTTCTGACCAGAGAGTCGGTAGAGCCACCATTGAAGAGCACCTGGTCTGAATTCAAGAGACCCTTCTGGTCGATCAGGTTCTTGAAGTAGTTGTTGTCAAAGACATTGGGAGTCTGGACGTCGAGAGGTGCCAGGTTGTTGTTGCCGGAGTTGGAAGCTCTCGGGCAGCGAGATTGCCTCGTCCTAGCAAAGGAGGGGTCGATGTTGGTCTGATTGTATATGCGGGCTCTGAAGGTCACGCAGCGAGCTTGTCCTAATGTATGAGATCCTGATAGGTTTCAAAGATGACGAACATTAATACATGTAAATATATTTAAATATGAATATTTTAGTTTTAAATAAATTGGCGACCCGTAGAGTTGAATCGTTGATTTAATCACATGGAGAATACGTTTAAAACCTGAGAAGAGGGATCACATCTGATGTACCTGACAAGGCCACCATGTCTTTCGTAGAGAGGCCCTTCGATCTGAAACTTCTGACGAGGGTAGTGAGGTTGGCACTGCCAGGAGGGAGGTCGCTGTTTGCAGCAGTAATGTTAGCTGTTCTTGAATCTCTTCTCCCCAGTTTCACTCTCCAGCTTGGGCCACCGAGCTTCACATCAATCGTTGATTGCATTAGAGGTGGATCAATGAAGGAAGGACTTTTGTTAAGAGTAGTTGACGAAATAAACCGTGTAGCGTCGTATGATTTGATTCCTCAATGCTACTGTAGAACATATCTACTGACTAATTTTTTATGTTGATACATGCGGGAGTTTTTATATTTTAATGAATCGATACTTTCAACGTAGAATCAATGCTCAACTAATAAAGCCGTACGAAATATGAATGTAGAGGATCTGCATTGCATGAATACTTACTATGACCGTTGAATCTCGGGCAGCGATCGCCAGAATGTCGGCACATGACACTACGCCTGGGCACACCTTCTCGACTCGGGACTTGATCCGGTCTATGACGGAGAATCCTCGGACGGAGTTGTTATTAGGCCTCGCCGTCTTCTCCCCGATAAAATTTCCAGTGTCGTCGAGGAGTATTGATCCATCGCAACCCTGGAAAAATAGTCTCACGAGTGAGGGAAGAGTTTCAAAGAGTCAGGATAACCCCTCACCAGTATATGGAGGAGGAATACCTGCACAAAGCAATCGTGGAAGAAGAGACGGATAAGGGAAGCGCCGATGCGCTTCTCCTTTGAGATCGCGGACTGAAGGACGGGTTTCACAGCGTCGAAGACGCCGGGGCAAGACTTGGAGTAAAAGTTCTTGGAGAGCTGCGCTGTGGCCCCACTTAGGAAAACGAGGATGAAGACTGCCGGGAGGATGGAGGACGCCATCGGCGGCCGGTGCTTTGGACTGTGGCAGCGAATGGCTCGTTAAGCGTGTGGCTGCCTAGTGTTCAGGGTGTAGCATTTATAGGAATGATTCTTCAATGGATGGAGATCCAGGGGGTGGGGGCGGTAACAAACTAGAAAGGTCAACAAATTGAAATCCCACCCACGTGGTGAGTACGATTACTCCTTAGATGTCGGTCGTATCAGTGCTATGCCTTCCATTGCCCCCCATTCGATTGCTGTAGCGCGAAGTGACATAAGATCTGCCGGCCGCCGGCACCCTGACCCTACGTCTTTGTTCCGCTATATGAGCCCTCCACTCGCGTTCTCTATATCTTTCTCGCAAGTACATGAGATGATATTTTGATCAAGTATATTACAGTACGGGATGATATCTGAATTAATGAAGTATCAAGAGAGTAAAACTGAGCTTCCAATAAGAAAATGTTTCAATTGAGGGGTTAAAGTCGTCTGGTCGGAGTAGATCGAAAGGATTGCCTTCGGGATTTTCGAGAGACGGGGCTAGAATAATCCAGAAGCGTGGCCCAGCCCACAATAATCTTCTCAGGCTCGAACATCGACAATAATTTCAAGTTAGATTGGCTAGGCTAAGGTCTGTCCCTGAGGTCTAGACGCTTAGAAGCCCGTCGTCATGTCCATTCTGCCTCCGTCAATGACGCCCTTCTGCGGCACTTATTGTAGGACTTGCGACTGGTCGGACTAGAAATCATCTTGTAAAAAAGGAATCCATGGACTTGGACGTAAGGCCATTATCCTGTCGTTTTCTATGTACTTGGTTGCCTCGCCGTCCGAAAGACCGACCGACGAAAGGTTCTGAAAATTCGACTTCCACCACTTAATGGGTGCCATCTTACTGTTATTAGTACTTTCTATTGGAATGAAAGCTATCTTCCCCATCACTCCCATCTACCACCTGATATTTTGAAGGGTTGGAGGGGGAATCACCCTAGCCTCCTGAGAGGGGGATAGAGACAGACAGACAGACATATAGAGACAGAGGAGGGACTCCTTCCTCAAGGATAATGAGAGAAAGAGATAACCATATGAAAGAGAAAGGGACATATGAATGAGAGAACCTACCTAACTGTGCGGTGCATTTACAATTATGGTCTTTCGATATCCTTCGTTGTCCCGTCTTCCCTTTATGACCATGCATTCTGTGGGATCTCCTAACACTTGGTGACGATAACAGATGATATATCAGTGAGATCCTTCATCAATGGGCTTCATCACTTTTGTAACGATTAGGACAGCCCAACTCAAACGGCCTTGTTGGGTCTGGGGCAGAAAGCCTTATAATCAGGCGCCTCACGGTATTTATATATTACCATTGATATCGGTATTTATATGTGTATTCGTACCAATATATATCCCTCTCTCTATAAATATATATTTACACATTTAGTATACATATTTTGTATTATTCGCACATCATATGGGAGCAATAATCTGCAATGATAGGATAAAACCAGATTTATTGCCCTTGTGGAAGCACTACGACACCATTCATCTTACTGGTTTCAGCAAGATGCTCGCGCACGTCTACTAGTATCGAAACATCATCACGACGACCAGTGGCTTCTCAGAACTGATCAGTTGGTCTTCCTACAGTTGACTCTGACTTCCCCGCTCGGGGACAGGAGAGGGCTGATTCTCCCCATCTTCACCATAGCAGTCGCGAAGTCGGTGAAGAATTTCGCGGGATTCTTAACGTAGTTACTCACCTGGGAATCCGTAGAACCCCCATTGTAGAGCTCCTGGTCTGAGTGGAGAAGACCCTTGTTGTCTACTAAATTCTTGTAGTAACAGCCGTCAAAAAAGGAAGGTGTGAATGTGTCGAGGGGGGAAAGTTGGTCGTCGCTGCCGGATCTGGGGCAGCCGGACTGCTTCGATGTCGCAAAGGAAGAGTTGATATTGCTGTCGTCGTACACTCTATTGCGAAACGTCGTACACCTTGCCTGTCCAATGGTGTGTGATCCTTCGGAATCCAACATAGGCAAACACGATTAGGCAAACATGATTATTGAAATAATCTTCCACATTGAGTAAGCTAATTAAACTTGCGGTTAAAATATAAGGGCAAATGATGATAATTCCCATTTCTTTTGAGTGGAATCAAATCCATGGATACCAAGATTCTAGTTTTTATCATAGACGAGGCATCCCATCGGCATTCAGCGCCTATGAAACTCATTTAAAAACTCAACTAACATGTGAGAATGGATATTAGAATAATGTGCACAAGTTCACTCTATTTATCATCAATCGGTTAAGAGTTAGGTGATCCAACTCCTCACGCTTAGTTCTAGATAAATTGACATTTCTATGTCGTCTACATGACACAACCATCTAAAGTCAAATTGCTCGCGTGTGGATATACCTCGCATGCACCGAGAGGATTATATTTTATTTAGAGATCTACTTATCATCGATTGAGTTATATTTCGATGATCTGATTCCCCTGACATGGACGTGTGTTAACGGATCGAGTCCCGGAATGAGAGTTTTGTACCTGATAAGGCGACCATATCGCTAGATGAGAGACCCTTCTTGGCGAAGGCAGATATGAGGGTACTGAGGTCCGATGTCGGTGCAGGAAGGTCGTTGTTGGCGTTGCTCAGGCTGGCGGTCGTTGAGTCTCTTCTTCCCAGCTGCACCGTCCACGAAGGCCCCCCCAGCTGCCACTCCCGAAGGAAGTACAAGATTCCCAATCAAAGCTGCGTCTTAGGGTTCTTCTAGCGGAGGATGATGAATGGCGCTCCCTTACCGCAACAACTGAATCCCGAGCTGCGACTGCGAGGATGTCGGCACAGGAGACGACTTGAGGGCAGACGCTCTCCACCTGGGACTTAATAGAGTCGACCACGTCGAAGCCACGCAAGGACATGTCATTGGGTCCTGCAGTCTTCTCTCCCGTGAAGCTGGCCGTGTCATCAAGGAGAACGGATCCATCGCAGCCCTGCCATCGAGAAGGATCTCCAGTCACTAAACTTCTATGTGCTATCAGTCAATGGGAAACACAGATGAAATCCCCCTTATCTCCCCGTTGTAACGGTAGTTCGTCAATTTCAAAGCACAAACGGTAAATTAAAAAAAGGGCACCCTTAGTCAACATTTTCCAGATTCTTAATGTAAAAAAATCGAAAAACATGGGTGAATACACAGCTAAACAACTCTTCAGACAGGGTTCACCACTAGTAATGATACCCACGGAACCCTCAACGACTAGTTTCTATCAGATTTTTTTCTCAAACCTTGAAGAGCCCATCCCACGCTTAATGTCATGATTTAGTCGCACTGGGCTTGGGTTCAAACCTGGAGCCCTAAAAAAGGAAGAAGGGTAAGGGAGAGGAACGGGCAGGCTTTCCGTGTTGTCTCCGTTGTTATAGCATGCTATGAGCTACATGATGCACTCTATAATTTAAACCAGAGACTCTTCTAGGGAGAGGACTTGCATTCACAAAGCAGTCGTGGAAGTGGAGGCGAAGCAGTGAGGCCCCCATGCGGTGTTCCTTGGCCACTGCAGCCCTGACTGCAGATCGGATCGTAGAAAGAGCCTTGGGGCAGGAGGAGTCGTAGTAAGTTGAAGACAGTTGACCTGAGGCTAAAGAGAGGAAGAAGACAAAGAAGACGAAGCATAACTCAAGGTTATCACGGACGCCATTGACGGAAGCCATGGCCAAAGAAGTGCTTGAGGAGGAGAGAGCATAGGCGCAACATGAACCGTCGAGCGACATGTATTTATATAAGGTGCAAACGTTGCCTTCTGGCTGGCCTATCACTGCTAGCCGCCTCGATCCTCCTACTAAGCCAAAACCTCGCCTCCGTCGTCAAAGCTTGCGAGATACAAGAATGGAAGGTGGGGCTCGTCCATCCTGGCCACAGGATAATGATAGCGGACGCCTAATCCCGCCAACCCCCACCATGAGGAGATCCGGAGAACGGTGGAGACCTAGTGGAGGCCACGAGAAAGATGGACTCCATGAGTCCATATTCCTTACGTAAGCAGACCTCATTGGTATCAGAAGAGAGAAGAGACTAGGTGGTGTTGTGGATAGTGGACTTCTCTCCGTCAGATTCGGAGGATCGTAGCTCTTGATCGTTGGATTGACTAGACGGTATGAACAGGGGTACCTTTAGATGATCCCCTCTCAAGTCAATTTACTAAGGCACGCATTGAACTGTGTTCTTGTTGTTTATGGCCTAGCCGGCACGCATGATAGCCTGCCGAACTTCAAACCTACCGAAGAGACCATCATTCAAAGGCCCTTTCTTTCATGATTTGGTGCCGTGGGCGCATGCATGGTGGCAAGGAACTATAGTAACGCTCTTTTTACTTTATAAGTGAAGGGTTCTATATAAAATCCAAATTTATGGTCTCTTTCGACGTAAGCGTATGGATTGAGAGATCTTATCCTCGAACTGGTCTTGTGGTTCATTTTTATTATGAAGTGGTGAAGGCGAAACCCAATTGAGGCTTCCAGAAGTCTTGTACGTGCATCCAAATCAAGAGTGAAACGATACTCACAGTCCCCAAATACCCTTACATGTTATATAATATTGGGCTTGTGGAGGTACGTGGTGGCAGGGGAGCTTGCCACTCAGGTTTGTTCCAATATCGAAGAAACAGGTACAATATACAGAGTAAACTGATACAATGCGTCCAGCTTCACTACCCAGATCAACTTCTTCCATCGAGCAACGCAGCCTGGAGTAACCTTAACCCTCGTTTGTATTCAATTTCGGATCAGCAAACAAGGGGAGCACCCACGTGCTACTTGAATTCAGGAACAGAACAGGCATTCATATCACTGTGATTAGCCCTGATTCCTTCACTTTGTCCCTGATACTAGGTCTCTTATAAAGCCGCTCGGCAAGTCTCAAAGAGTACCTTTCAGGGCCAGCTAGCCCAATACTTTTTACAAGATGAGAACTTGTCTCCAGTCCAACTTCCTCTCTGCAGTCACAGGAGAGAGCGAGAGAGAGAGAGAGAGAGAGAGAGAGAGAGAGAGAGAGAGAGAGAGAGAGTAATTCCACGTAACTAATCATCAGACAGTCACATAATAACAAAATTAGCTCATGACATGTAGAGAAGGAGAGGTTTGTGAAGTGCTAAGACGGATCCAATAAGGACAAGGTTATTTTAGGATGGGCTTAACTATATCTCTTAGCTAATGAAAATCAGGTCAAGCTAGACTCTAATCTTACATGATCCATCCACACAGCCTTTGGCTTTGGTTTGAAGTATCTCTAAAATGAAATTTATGAAATGAGGAGATGGACACCATCATATAATTCTTAATTATTTTTAGTAGATGTGAGATTCATGGAAGAACAATATTAAATATGCCTTTCTAACAAGGTGCCCAGTTGCCCAAATGCACTCTTCAGGTATTCCAAACTTGCAATCCAACGTCTGCTGTTGTGCTTTCCACGTTTTTGGCTTTCAAAAAGGGCAAATACGAGTCATGGTGGTGGGGTCCTCCACTATGGGCGCACCAATGCCCCAACGGTCAACACTATAACATTTCACATGTTAGCGGTCATCCTGGACTAATGGCCAAACGTTTTTGAAAACACAATAAGATAAAATATTTTACCTTTTCAAGAAATTTAAATTACATTATATACATCTTTATTTTTCTACACGAATATCTTTGAGAAATCGATACTAAATCATATTTTTTTCTTATCCTATTTTCATTCTATGTTCTTTCTAAAACTAAAATAGAATTATCTATATTTTAATGATTTCTTATTATAAAATGATAGGAAGACCATCTTATGATAACAAAGAGAGTTTTCTTTTAGGAAGGGGGGGGAGAGAGGGAGAGAGAGAGAGGAGGATATGCATGACCGAGAGGGAGTCACATGGGATGATAGTACGATAGGAGTTTTCAATGCTGACCCAATCTATCCTATTTACTCCACCATATGTCACATTATTTCAATTGTTAGTGACATAGATTATCTGTCCCTCACAAAAGAGTCAATCATATTGGCTTTACTAGTGAACCAAGTAATGCCAAAACCGTGTTTGAGTCATGGTCTTCCCTTTTGACCTAAAAGGCGTAGTCTAGACAATATTTTAATTTTTTTCTCTATGGAGCTAAACTATATTAACGTGTTTCTTGTATACATATCCTTGATGATCACATAGTAACTGGTCATTCGCAATCTATTTGAGGTTGCATAAACATCATTTATTGGGTTTTATATCCGATTAAGATTTATCAAAGTTTGGTCTATCTGGTTCATTTGGCTACCGAGTCCAATCCAGGTGTAGAACACTACACGAGGCATTAAACGGGTTTTAGATAGTTTAATGGGCCCTTATTGGGCCTAAAGGAAATTTACTCCTCCGTGGTCGGCTGCATCGTCGCCTTATTGGGCCGAGGTCTGAGCCCTGCAAAGTCACCGGTGGGATAGGGCCTTAAGCTAAATTGCACTCCACCCCGAAAGCTTTCACATGAAACTTTTAATTATATATTTACTCTTACTGTATGATCGAGGCCCTCAGCAGAACGCGATAACCCGGCTTATATCGGATATACCTGATATAAAGAGGGCTTAATTATAAAATGTCTTCAGGATAGGATTTGTACAATTAGTACTTTTTTGACGTGCAATAATGAAGAATGGAAGCCTTCGGAACCGGCTGAGCACCCACCGCAGCAACGTATCCTACAGACGATTCCTTACTCTTAGATATTTGTAAATTTACCCCTCCCTCCCTTCCCCTTCTAACCGCTCTCTTTCCCCTCCATCGATCCTGGGGACCTCCTCGTTACCGGACCTTGGCACACAGAAGAAGGGCTCTAAGGGGGTGGGTTTTCCCATCTCAAGCTCTGTTATATCGCTGAGAAACGAAAAGCGGCCAGCTTTCTGCTCCGCGGCGATGGGCGCTCTCGCCTACCGCCGTCGGAAGAGAAGCCTTCGTCAAACCCGGCGTCAGACAGGTAAGACCCAGGCGACCGACCCACCGTCAGGTAGCCGTCCGTTTTCTATTCTCCGCGCCGGCCATGGCCGGCGGCAGCCTTTCCTTCCCAGCTCATGGTTGCCGGTGCAGGATGCATGCGGAAGTTCTGTTTCACCCTCCGATGAGGAGCCATCCTTCCGGCTTAGAAGGCCGGTAGAATTCCCCATTGCTTCAGTCATGGAGCTCCATTTCTCTGGAGGCCGCTCCGGCATCTGAGCCGGTGGATGGCTTGAGGAAAGCTCTGGAATTTATGGCGAACTGTGTGAGAACGTAAAAGAAGAATGTCTTATACAGATAAGAGGTGCCCGGCCGATGCCCCACCCAAGACTAGCTGGCTAGCGAGAGAGACGGAGAGAGAGAGAGAGAGAGAGAGAGAGAGAGAGAGAGAGAGAGCCAAGTGGGCTTCCACGGGGGAAGGACGGCAGCGTAGCCATTTTATTCCCTACAGGCCCCAACCAGGCCCATTAAACTTACTCGTGCAAACGTAACATCGTGATAGTTGTGTGAGAACATTTGTACTAGCGTACATGGGCAATAATCTTCATTCCGTGGTAATCGATCAGACCAACCCCAGTTAAATAAAATAAAAAGAGGCTAATAAAATAAGCCGTGGGTACGCAGTTATTAAATCCGCTTAAAATAATTATTTATTCCCCTCCCAATCCGGTCCAACCACTGCCACAATTGGGTTGGATTCGGTGGATGCAGGCAGAGCTTTCGATCCTTGCACGTCCCAGCATCTCTCTCTCTCTCTCTCTCTCTCTCGCCTACATCCTTTCCGGGTCAAGTCCGGGCCTTGAGAAAGATTCATGAGCTCGGGGTAGAGAAGGGATCCCGCCCCGGGGAGGAATAATTTTATTGTTTTGAATGATTAACTGTTCTCACTAGACATCATCTTTTCAATATATTCGCACGCTTGAGGACATTCTAGCTGACCAGAGACGCCGGACGGGGACAGGATGAGGGCCCCGGTGGATTTCGCCAGCCGGTCGTTGGGGGGTCCTCCGTCGAGACGTGGCCAGGTGACCAAAACACGGCGCCGCCCACCGCGGCGGAGATTCGTGCTTCTCCGCCGACGGGGTTCGGCCGTCCCCGTCAGGCCGCCGGGCTGTCACCCACACGTAACCAGACTTGATAGCCCGACAGTCGACCTCCTACCCCTCCAATTCGAAGACTGGAGGTGATGTCGCAGGACATTCAAGAAAATTACGTTGAAGGATTCCTTGTGCGGCAATCTTGATTCTTTAATCATAAATTTGTATTTTTCCTACGCAGTTGTTGGAATATAAATATTGGCCATTTTCTAAGGAACACCTAGACCCATCTCATCTTATATTCTGCAGAGATTGGATATTCAAGAATATAGATCCCTGGCTCGTTTTTTTTTCTTTTTGTTTTAAACATATATCATCTAGCTCAAAACCGGCGGGAACGGATAAAATGAGTATAATATTCTGCACATAGTTTCAACTTAGCTTTCACGGATTAATTAAAGCAGTATACCGTCTCGGCGGCATTCGCCCACATGGGTCCCTCTTCTTCTGGTGGTTTGCCGTCCCTAACTTGCCAGTGATTGCCATGTAATTAAGAAATCGGTAGGAACGGCCCTTCAACGCCTATATGAAGATTTCTCGTAGAAGAACACCCCGGAAGGGGGGGAGGGGGCATGGATTGCTGCGTCTGTAGCCCCACGGCGGTGGGTTTCCGGTTGCCGAGGAACTCCATCTGCGTGTCTTGCTACGAGGGAGCTAGGTGCATGATCGTCTTCTTGAACGATCTCGAGAATGGGAGGTCCTCCGACGAGGGGAGTACGCCGGCCGCCGTGAAGGTAAGTGTCCCCCGCTTCCCTGGTTCTTCTGATTATCCGAGGCTCCGTTTTGATCGTGATTTCCCAAAGAACTGAGGATCAGATTTATGGATTTTCTTCGGCCTCTTCGATCGTCTTCCGGGTCTGAAGGGAGAGACTATATGTTCCACCAGTTTGCGCCGCCCCCCCCGAGCTCGTCTTCTGATGATGGCCTTGATTGCTTTCTCTGCAGGGGTTATCGAATGTTTTCAAGTGGATGAAGGAGATGAAGGAGATGGAGAAGGCGTTGAACAGGAAGGCGGAGTTCCTCGGCGGCTTTGTGGCAGCGCTGACGGATGCCCTGCACACAGATATTCTGGTGCAACCGGGAGGTGGCGGAGCAGCCATACCCGCCCACAGAGCCTTGCTGGTATCCCTTCAACTCAGTTCCTTATCATTTGCAGTCATTCAACGAGGTGTCACTGGGTCGGCTAGGGTTAAGAGGTAGCCCACCAATGCAAAACCTCTCTCTCTCTCTCTCTCTCTCATTCTCTCTCTCGCGATTAGCCTTAAGCCGAGCCCGCCTTCGGACACCCCTGATAATCCGGAGTTTTGTAGTAGTTATCTGAAAATAAGAGTCGTGTTACATATAAACTTACTATATTTATAATACATCGATTTTAAGTATTGACTGTCTTACTCTGATATGTTCGACAAATATATATATTTTTATTATAAGTAACTTCACATAAAATAGGATGTAATACTTTTGATAAAAAATATAACACTGATTCGGCTGTCTGAGTTAGATATTAAAATCGCATTTTGAAGGTTTTAATTGATAAGAAATCCTAGGGAACCGCGTATCGTTTGTAAGGCCATTTTCTTCCAAAGCCCAAATTACGGTCTACCTGGGCTGGCTCGAATTTTCTTCCCAAGCCCAACTGTGTAATTGGGCGGGCTAAGAACATCCCGGCCCATTATTGTGATTTGTGGGACTGGCTGCGGACGGGGAGATTCGACCCACCCTCATCTATGTCGCCTGTGTTCGTATGTCTCAGGCGGCGAGGTCGGAGATATTCAAGACCGTGCTGATGTCCGACGAGTGCAAGGCGCCGCCGAGCGTTGCTATCTCCCTCCCGGAGCTGAACCACGACCAGCTCCAGTGCCTCTTGGAGTTCCTCTACCGAGGAACGATCTCGGAGGACGACGCCGGCAGGCACGCCTGCGCACTGCTGCTGGCCGCCGACAAGTACGACGTCCCCTTCCTGAAGAGCTTCTGCGAGAGCCGGATACACGGCACGCTGACCGCCGCCAACGCGCTGGAGGTGCTGGAGGTCTCAGAGGCCTGCGCCAGCGAGACGCTTAGGCGGACGGCCATGAGCGCCATTGTGGAGCACGCCGAGGACATCGTCTTCTCCAGCCGCTTCGATGACTTCGCCCTCAAGAACGCCCACCTTTGCGTGGAGATCACCAGGATGCTGTTGAGGGGGATGCGGGATAAAAGAGCTTCAGTGGCCTGTGATGGCCGCCCGGAGAACTCACAATGAACGCCGGGCTGTCTTCAATCTCTGAGTTTCTCCTCTCTTCTTACAGTCATGTAGATCTAAACACACGTCACGGGGTCGTTGTCTAAAGAATGAATGATCTTCTAACATGAAAGTGATGTTCCAAACCTTGCTTTCTCGCCATTATCTGTGCAAGGTTTATTCGAAAATCTTGATTGGGTTGGTCCTGAACTTGATAATTGTTAGCTGTGAGGACCACCTACAGAGCTAGTTCAGCATCCTCTCTCCATTGCATCTAGTGGAGAGCGAGCGAGCAAGAGAGAGAGAGAGAGAGAGAGAGAGAGAGAGAGAGAGAGAGAGAGAGAGAGAGAGAGAGAGAGAGAGAGAGAGAGAGAGAGAGAGAGAGGAGTGTAAAAATAAATGTGCAAACAGAATCATAATAACAAAGAAAACTTAATTTCTGAATATCAATGAAAATAAATAGAAGAGAAATCACCAAGTTATCAAGAATCTTGATGAGAATAAAACTTCCACCAGACACTTCTAATTCATGTTTCAATGCCCTCTAAATGACTCACGAATTAGAGAGTCAACAATAAACTCTTATTTACTTCTGTAAAGACTTTACATGTAATAGAATAAAGAAGAGATACCAAAAAAGAAGAAGATAATTGATAGAGAGAGATAATAAAATCAAGAGAGAGAAAAATCTCATTGTATGTTGTACTTAAAAAAGGAGAAATACATATCTTATTTATAGAAAATATGAAATATAACTACCCACTAAAAGGAGACATCTTGATCTATGTGCAGGTAAGCCCACACATTTTGGAGGTGATGGCTTTAACTTCTCTCATTTCCTACTCGTTCTCTCCTTACACAACCCTTGAATAGGTCAAAATAGATGAGGTGACAATCATCTCTCACACTTTGTATGTCTCTCGAGTGAATAAGATAGGAGAGGCTCTCTCTTACTTCTCTTGAATAGTTGAGATGGGAGGTAATTCCTCGCATGTCTCTTGAATGAGTAAGTCATGATGGACTGACACCACCATAAAAACTCCACATTGCTACACCTAGAGTTGATGTCTATTTATACAATAAGTTCTCCACCTTTTGCAAGGTACCTACAGTATAAATCAAATTCAAATAATATTTAAACTTCTCTACTGTGATGATCTTCATCAACATATTCAAAAGATTTTTCTCAATGTGAACCTTCTCTAGAGAGATATCACTAAAATTTACTAATTCATAGATCTTATGATACTGCATATCAATATATTTCGATCATAATGTAGACTATCATAATAGACTTGATTCTTTGTCAAGCAATAACATTGTGACTATCATAATGTAGAAGAACTTCACCCTATTAGATCTCAAGTTTGCTCAACAATCTCTTCAATCATAAGGCCTCCTTAGCTGCTTTAGTAGTTGTCACGTACTCCGCCTTAGTTGTAGACAATGCGATAGTAGTCTGAAGTGTAGACTTCTAGTTCGTAGGTTCGTCAGTCACAGTGAAAATATATCATGTCATAGATCTTCGATGATTTAAATCCTCAACAAAATCTGCATCAACAAAGCCAATAGTAAAAAGATAAGTTTACTAGTCAAAATATATTCTAAAAATCTAAAGAACTCTTTAAATATTAAAGAATTCACTTTACTACGTTCTAATGTTCATTTCCTAGATTACTCGTAAACCTGCTAATAAGCCTGACTACATGAATAATATTTAGTCTTTATAGATCATAGCATACATGAGAGAGCCAACCACACTAGTATAAGAAATTTACTTTATCTCAGTAATATCTTTCTTAGATGTTAGACACTAAGTAATAAATAATTTGAAATAATTAGTCATAAGAATGCTCACTATTTTAGTGTTACTCATGCCAAATAGATTAATCATCTACAAGAGATAATTCTTTTGAGTTAACTATAATTGACTTAACTCTTGGTCTTTATAGATCTCCATCCTAATAATCTTCTTTGCCACACTAAGATTCTTCATGTCAAATTCTCTACTCAATAGTGACTTCAATCTAGTGATCTCATGTGATTTTTTTAAAACAATTAATGTCTCATCAACATAGAGCATTAAAATAATCAGAAAACTATCATCACAAGTTTTCATATAAATACAATAGTTAAAATTACATCTCATATAGTCAATCTTCAATATATAAGAGTCAAACTTCTTGTACTGTTGCTTTGATGCTTGCTTTAACCCATAAATGAACTTTTTTAGTTGACAAAAAAGATATTATGGCCCCTACACAATGAAACCCTCTAACTATTACATGTAAATAATTTTCTTTAAATCTTCATCGAAGAATGTGGTCTTCACATCTAGTTTCTCAAGCTCTATATCTTCATGTACAATAATAGTTAACACTAAATAAATATACATGTGTTTCACAACAAGTAAAAAAATATTTATATAATTAATTCTTTACTTCTATGTAAAACCTTTTGGAATAAACCTTACTTTGTATTGTGGTTGATGTATATCTATTTGTACTCAATAGCTTAATTCTTTGTAAGAAGATTCATTAATTTTTAAGTGTAGTTCTTGTCTAAAGATGCTTACTCTTCAGACATTTTTTATAGTTATTTATCTTTTTTAGGACAATTAATTACTTTTTGAAAAGTTATGGGCTTGTCATCTCCTATAAATAATACAAAGGTAACATAATCATCAAGACAAGTAAGATATCTTACTTCATGCCTACTTTGTCTAGTAGTAATACAATCAGAAATATTTGAGGATTCTACAATTCATTTTTCACTTATAACAAAACTAGGAGGACTTTGCACAGTCTCTACCTCTAGCTTTACTTTGTCTTCAACACGAGTATTATTAGATTCCTGAACTTTGTAATATATAGAAAATGACTTTAATATGTGATGTTCATCAAAGACCACATTCCTATTGAAAATAACCTTTTTCATCTCTAAATTTTAAAGTTGATATCCCTTCACGCTAGTGCTATAACTAAAGAAGATATATTTTCTCAACTTTAGATCTAGCTTTAATTTCTCATCAACAAGTGTAAGGACATATCCTAAACATCTAAATATATGTAAATTTAAATAGTCAACAAAATTTTCAATCTATATTTCTTCAACAACCTTCCCATTAAAAGTAGAATTTAGTGATATGTTCACCAAATAAGCCACCATACTCACAACTTCCATCTAAAACTTTTTGGACAAGTCAACATTCAGTTGTAAATGCTGTGCTCTCTCAATAATTGTGCAGTTCATCCGCTCAGTAACACTATTCTACTATGTAGTCTTCTTCATCATATAATAACATTGAATATTATGCTCATCACAAAATTGATCAAATTCAAAATTCTTAAATTACGTACTATTATTAGTGACAAGGCTTTGATCTTCTTTCTCATCTGATTCTCCACCTTCGCACACAAAGTCTTCAACTTTGCAAATACTTCTGATTTGTGCTTTAAAAAGAATATGTAGACTTCCTTGGAAAAATCTTTAACAAAGGTCAAAAAATAATGAACACTATGTATTGACTTCATATCAATCGGACCAGACACATTTGAATGAATATAATCTAGCACAATATCTGTATCATACTTTGCTGCCTTAAGCGTCATCTTGTACTATTTTTTTATGATACAGTACTTGCAAAAATTTAATTTACAAATTTTCACACCATGTCATAATTCTCATGTATGTAGCTTCTACATACTTGTCTTACTCATATGACTCAATCATAAGTGCCATAAAAGAGTCTCATCAATCATTGAATCATCTAATGTCATAACATAGTTCCACCTATAATGGTACTCAGCTCAAGTTTGTAAATATTCACTCGTTGACATCTTACTTTCATCACAACGAGCATTTATTTGATAATTTTGAAGATCTCATTCTCTCATTTGAAACAACATATATTTGCTTCTAATACTCTAAGTGAAATTAAATTGTGGTACAATGCTGGAACATGAAGAACATTTTTAAGCTCTTGGACCACTCCATCAAACATCTAAACCTTCACCAAATCAATGCTAACTACTTTGCAAGCTATGTTGTTTCTTATAAAAATAACTTTCGTTGTACTCTTGTATGAGTCAAATCAATTAGTATTATGACACATGATAAGAACAACTAGTGTCAAGAATTCATGTGTTTTAGAACTCCTTAATTACATACAACAAGACCATAATAGATGGTGGGATTATCTGATCTAATCAAGACTCTTCAACTCAAGAAAGTCAACATAATTTAATGGAAGATGGTCAACCAGAGGTTGAACCTTTGAGGTCAATCCTTCTAAGAAGAAGTGCAAGAATTAGGGTCTTCCACCTCAAAGAGTTCAACTCCAAGTCAATCAATGCCTTCCTCCTCTCTTAGATCGAACATAGAATATTGGATCCAAGACTAATGGATCCCTACCCGCAAGTAAGAGGATCCACTCACAAAGGATGGCCCAATAGGAAGAAGAAAGAGAAGAAGAAGAAGAGGGAGAGAAAGCTATGTCATCCTCAGGCCCATCTTCTCCTTAAGAGGGGTGATGTGTCAAGCAAGAGACATCATATGGCATCTCTTGGGAAAGGGTCTCCTTCACCCGTTTTTCTCTCTTTCTCTCTCTATTTCATGGACAACCACCCCTCTTCCTTTCTCCTCTATAAATTCTAAGACTTGTTCTATATTTGGGGGATGGTGATTTGCTGAAATAATCAAGAATTAATCTTCTCACCTCTTGGATTAGAGGCAGCTTCTTCTTTTTGCCCTATTGGATTAGGGGGACCTTCATCTCTTCCTCTTCACGTTGTCTTCATTGTCCACCCCGTTGCCATCATCTGCCCTATCGCCACCATTTTGCCTCCTCATCATCCACCCCGTCACTGTCGTTCTGCCTCCTCGCCGTCTACCCTGTCACCGTCATTCCGCCTTCTCACCATCTATCCCATTGCCGTCATTCCTCTTCCTCCTCATCCGTCCATCATCGTCGTTCATCTTCCTCCTCATCTGCCCTATCACTGCCATTCCTCTTCCTCCTCATCTGCCCTATCGTTGTCGTTCGTCTCCTCGTCACCTGCCCCATCGCTGCCGTCCATCTCCTTGTTAGCCGCCCTGTTATTGTCATTCTACCTCTTTATCATCCCTCTCATCACCATCTTGCCATCACCACTAGACTCTCTTTTGGCCATCCTCCCATCATGAAACCCTCTTCCTTTATCTCTTCCCTCTCCTCTATTTCCACTTCTTTTCTGTTGACTCTCATTATTTTTCCCACCTATCCTGCCTCTATTCACCTCTTTCATTCTCAATTCCTCCTCCATGTCCTTAGCATTCTTCTCATCTATTTTCTAATCCTCTTGGAAATTAATTTAAGAATTGTAGACCTCAGGCCACTAGAATCAAGAAAACCAATAAAGAATCTCATTTGTCAAGGTACGTTAATTTCAATTCTTTTTGTTGAGTGATCATTAATTTATATCCTTGCTCCTTATAGGAACTAAGTGAACCATAAGATAACCCTTTCTTGTGCCTTTTATGGGTGATCTTAACACCTCTAGTTGAAACTCTATCTGAACTTTTGAAAGTGCAGTTCTTCTTAGGTAATTATGATCCTAATTCTTCTAAAATCAACAAAATTAACCTACCCACAATCCTCCTTAACTTACCTAAGGTCAATCTTAAATCCTAACTTTCTTTTTTATATTAGTTTTCACTCTCTCCTCTCTTTAATCTTACATCAATAGACTTCACTATCTTTTGTGTCCTCAATCTTCATAACATTAGTCGAATTAGATTCACCTCCTACTATTTTATCTCTCTGGTTATTCAGACAATCTCTTCACAAGTGTCCCTTCTCATGACACTTGTGACAAATTTAATTTTTCAACTAATTTATCTGTGACTTTGATCGACTTTTCTTGTCTCCTGACTATTCTTTCTCTTTCTGCCTTTCATGTCCTCTTTCACCCTTCATATATAAATCTATACCACGAGCCTCATTACTATTCTTTTTCTGATGATAATACTCTATTAATGAGTCAATAACATCTTCAAGAACATGTGTTGTACTATCATACGACAAAATCATAACAAGATGATCGTATAAATCAAGAAGAGAATCAAGTAGAATAATAACTTTGTTCTTATTAGAAAAATCTGATTCCATACAAAACAAGTCATTCAATAATTGATTAAAATAATCAATTATGATACCAAATCATCTCTATCTAACAGGTGGAACCCAAATAATTTTCACTTCAATGTCAATTTGTTCATCATAGACTTTGGTTTACATTGATTCTCCAACTTCTTCTAGAGTTCTTTTTGATTATATTCCTCTATGACCGATTGAAGAGTCTAATCAGATAGACATGTACGAATAAAACCTCAAACCTTCTTTTCTATTATTTCTTAATCATCAATATTAATCTTGTCTAACTTTGGTCCATCTAAAGTCTTATATAAGTCAGTCTACAATAACGCATCATATACACGATATTTTTAGAGATTAAAGTTAGAAGATTTATCCAACTTCTAGATATCAATGTGTACCTTAGAAGTTATAATAAATCTATAAATAATCAAATTAATACTTTAATATCACTTATAGGAATAAATATACAAGCACATAATCACAATAATAATGAAAACTCAATTTATGAATATCAATGAGAATAAATAGAAGAGAAATTACAAAGTTATTAGAAATCTTGATGAGAATAAAACTTCCACTAGACACCTTTAATTCATGTTTCAACGCCCTCTAAACGACCCATGCACTAAAGAGTCAGCAATGAACTCTTATCTACTTTTATAAAGACTTTACTTGTAATAGAAGAAAGAAGAGATACCAAGAAAGAAGAAGAGAGTTGATGAAGAAAGAGAATAAAATTAAGAGAGAGAGAAATCTCATCTTCTGTTGTACTTAAAAAAAGAGAAATACATGTCTTATTTATAAAAAGTATGAAAAGATAACCGCATGCTAAAATGAGGCAGCCCACACATCTTGGAGGCGACGGCTTCAACCTCCCTCATTTCCCACTCCCTCTCTCCATGCATGACCCCTGAACAAGTTTAAAGGGATGAGGCAGCAACTGCTTCTCACTCCTTACATATCTCTTGAGTGAGTCAGACGAGATAGGCTCTCTTACATGTCTCCCAAATAGTTGAGATGATAGGTGGCTCCTCACACATCTCTCTAACGGGTTAGCTATGATGGACTAACACTGCCAACAAAGAGAGTGAGAGAGTGAGTGAGAGAGAGAGAGAGAGACAAACACAATAGACAAATAGAGAGAGAGAGAAGTGGGAGGGGTGGAGGGAATGAGGAGATGGGTTTGCCTGCCACCTTGGTGTTCCACCTTCTTACCAGCCTTTAAGGAATGTGAAACCCTTTCTAGGTTGTCATGTGAAAGTTTTGAATGAGTATCCATGGTTATGCTCCTTCTCGAAAGTGCATGAAAAAATATCCCCTCTATCGGAGAACTTCCCCATTCCTCACCCACCAGAAGACATTGATCTTGTCTGCACCGAGCCGAAGAAACCCTCAAAGGGGTTGGTCTGAGAACAATGGTTTCCCTGGAGAACAGCTAGGGGACCCTGGAGGATGATACCATCACTACCATTATGTGGCCTTGACGCCCATGATGGGTCCCTCTTGTGTCACATTGTATGAGGTCTTGACGACAAATTTCCAACATTGGCAGGAGCTAGTACAACATTAATGGTTACAAGTAGTAGATCTTGAGTCATACACCATTATTTTGTCACATTCTTCCTTCGGAACTACAAACATTGAGTGTGGAAATCTTTTCTTCTTATGGTGGTTAGCTGACAATGTCTCCCCACAGATCAACTAAAGTTGTCCATGGTTGTAAGAATTTATCTTGAGAAAATATCCCTTCCAAATAGAGATTTTGTTGGCTTGGAGCTTTAATTAGCTTGGGAAAACTGATGACAAATACATAATAGTTTAACATGAGAAAACTTCCCATGTCAAAGGAGATATTTGCTCAGTCCTCAGCTCCTCAGCTATGTAATATGGTTTGGCAAAAGTTGAGTTGAATTTTCTTCAACTTGCTTGGAGTGTGGGATAGTTTTCTCTACTTAATTACTGGCTGTTTTATAAGACAACTAACTTCTTCTAACTCCTCATAATTTTTGCCAAAAAGAACTAAAAGGTCACTAAGGAGGGGCTCAAACTTTAACAAGATATACTCCAAGAAGAAAAGTCGATTATGTTGGAGATCACCTGATTTTGGATTTATTGAGTTTTTGTTTTGTCTTTTGTTTATCATATCGGATATGGGTCTGATATAAGTAAACTCATTAATGTAGATTCCACCAAACTATTTAGGTTTGCCATAAATATCTATACCCATTTCCAATTAAATTAATGAAGTCATTATTATCCTATTTTTCTCTCTTATTAACCCTATAGGTCAATGGCGCTTTGTAAAGAGGAAGAGGCTTATAAAGGTGATGAAAACATCTCTATTAATTGTGAAGCTTCAATATGGTAACAGAGCAGGTCAGTTGTGTTCATTCCATCTTCTATTGACTCTTAGAATGTTCATCTTGGTACAAAACTTTTGCTTTGTTGAGGAAGACTTGTGAGCATGCCCTAGATTGTGATTTGCCTTGTTTAGGGTCTATTTTTTGTGATGTTTATTCTGTGCAATTATCCTTTGGTTGTTTTCTTATTAAGTTGGCAGCTCAATAGCCTATTTGAATATCCTCTCATTCTTGGATGAGGAAGAATGGCTGATGCCTATCTTGAGTGAAAGTTGTCCCCTTGTTTGTCCTTAAACCCCATTATTCCTCTATTTAGCATCATCCCTCTGCATAGAAGGTGAGAACACAACATTTGCTGTTTGAGGAGATGATAATCTTATGTCAGAGGTAGTTGATATGGGTTTAGATTCTTCATCATCCTTAGAGCACTCTAAATTATATTTAAAGGTAAAAATATTTCAAATGAATTCAAACTAGATGGGAAAACCTCAGGGAGTGGCGTGAATTTATTGAGATAGTTTTAACCATAAAAATAACATTGAGCTGTCTCTTGGAGTCAACATGTGAACAAATAGATCCACATTTCAGATTATGGAAGGAAAATGATGTAATTATAAAAATGTAGCTATAAAGTACAATGACATGTGAAGTTAATTGAAAACTATTTATTTTTCCAACAACCAAAGATATTTGAAAAAAAGGACAAAGAATTTCTTAAAAAGGAGGATAAATCCTAGATTTATTGCATCATGAATAAGGTGATGACTTTGAAGCAATTAAGAAAATATGTGAAAGAATATACCAATGAATTAAAAGATGTATGGCAAGAGATTGATAGATACCAACCAATTATTATAAAAAATTCAGATGATAGTATATTTTTCAGAAAATTATTGAGAATGATATAATTTATATATTTTTAGCTGCTCTTAATCTTGAGTATCACCAAACTCAGATCCACAATTAAGGAGAGAGAGAGAGTACTAGATTTTGAAAAAGTGATTACAATAATTAGAAATGAGGAGAACACGTGGAGCCTCCTAACATAATGTAATGAGTAGACATACATGTGATAAATGTCAGAAGCTCCATGGAAGGCCTCAAATGGGTTGAGAAGTTCATTTGACAAGCAGCAGAGGCAGTTGCATCTTTAGTATGCAAGGAGAGAAGGAGAACCTCAAAACTGAGATTGAGAAGTTAAAGTTAATGATGGGGTTCAGTTCCTTGAGATATTCTGGTGAGACTCCTTATTTTCTTGTAATACAAGTCACATGTGGCTCATTTTTAACATTTAGATATTTGACGATATCCATCAATCATATGACCAATTCATCAAACTATTTTTTATCATATAATTCTTGTTTAGGAAATAATAAGATAGCCACAACAGATGGATCATTAATTACTATTTTTAGTATAGGAGACCTAAAGATTGTATCGATAAGGATACTTAGAAATATTCTACATCCCTAAACTTTCCATAAATCTTATTTCAGCTCAAAAAGTAGTAAATAACATAAATTATAAAGTAGTTATTGATAGTTATCTTTGTGATATATATGATAAGGTCACTCACAAGAGGATTGAACATGCTGATGAATGCAAATGGTTGTATTATCTTGGAGCATCAAGTCAAATTCTTTGATAGTCGAAGACCAATTGACCTAAGACTTTAGTCTCGATAGAGTTTGAAACTTTTTAGTTATACCATTGTTGTTTTAGTCACCCCTCTTAGAAAGATGAAGACTATGTTTTCACATTTGATTCCTAAAGTTAATTTAGAAAAACTAAAGTGTGATATTTGTGAAATTGCAAAACATAAACACACTTACCTTCTGCTAAGTTGTGAAATTAATGCTACCTCATTTTACTTAATTTAAAGTGATAGAAGTGAAAGAAGGAAGATAGTTTGTGACTTTTATTGATGATAGCTACACGTGAACTACATAAATTTTCTTATTAAATCATAAATCAGAAGTTATAAAGGTCTCTAATAATTCTGTTCATTAATTCAAAATTAATTTGAAGTTAGAATTTTAAAAAAATAGATGTGATAATATAATATATATTTTTAATCAAACAATAACATAATTCTTTCAAAGGGAGGAGATAATTCACAAATCTCCTTGTGTGAACACTCCACAACAAACTAGAGTGACAAAAAGGAAAAACAAACATGTTCGAAGTGATGAGAGCACTTCTTTTACAAAATAGTGTACCCAATTTTTTTTGAGATAAGGAAATCTTAATTGTTGTACATATCATCAATCAAATTCTAACTAACTAAGATCTTAAGGTTTACAAGTCCATTGAAGACCTTATCTCATTATTACCCAAATATCTAACTCAAGAACAATATATTACCTAGAGTATTTGAACGTGTATGCTATGTTCACAACTAGGATAAAGCAAATGCAAGCTTGGTCTGCGTGCACAAAAAATCATATTTACTAGATAGTCAAACACAAAGAGGGGATATAATTGATATCATCTCCTCTTGAAATTAACATGAAGCTTAATTTGATAAAATTCTATGTAAGGGGGAATTAAGGACATTAATAAGGATAAATAAGAAGAAGAAGTGGAAACTATGTACTACTATTTACACCTTCATAAATACTACAACTCCAAAAGGAATACTCATAGAAACCC